TTTTTTTTTTTTTTTTGGAGGGGGGTCTATTTTGAGACAGTGTCTCCCTGTTGCCCCAACTGTCCTGGAACTCACTACGTAGACCAGGCTGGCCTTGAACTCACAGAGATCCGAGTGCTGGTATTAAAGGCATGCACCACCACGCCTAGCCAGGGGTATAATTTTTATTCATTCACTCATCTGTTTATGTAGGAAGGAACGTATGGACTATAAAAACCAAGAGTCTAAGGATCACAAGAAAGCTCCTGCTCTATTCCTCCTCCTCTGTTTTTCAAAGAGGCTGTCTTACATAAAAGGAATGACACGGTTTGTCTAACAAACCTGGTATGTCTAACATAAAAGGAATGGCCCAGTCATTTTTGTATTGTTTGATGAGAGCCCCTATATTTTGTTAGGAGTCATGAGCTCTTTGTTTTTGGTGGTTTGGTTTTTGAAACAAATGCTCATGTAGCTAAAGCTAGCTTCTTGACTACTGGGGATGGCCCTGACCTCTTGATTCTCCTGTGTACACCTCCCACATTCTGGGACTATAAGTATGTGCCACTGGATTGTTAGGATTTTTTGAAGAAAGGTCTTGCTGTATAGCCCAGACTAGCCTGACACTGATTCTCCTTCCCTAGCCTCCTAAGACAACTCACATTCTTTAATTCCATTATCTTTTACCCCAAAGGAGGGGTTAAGTTTGCTCCAGAGGTTAGAGTTTTGATTGATAGATTCTTTTTTACATATTTATTATCTTTATTGTATGTGTATGAGTGTATTACCTGCTTGTATGTAAGTGCACTGTGTCACGCAATGTCTACAGAGATGAGAAGAGGGCATTGAATCCCTGGAACTGGAGTTACAGACAGTTGTTAGCCGCCTTGTGGGTGCTGGGAATCGAGTTCAGGTCCTCTGTAAGAAGAGCCAGTGCTCTTAACCACTGAGCCATCTCTCCAGCCTCCTTGACTGATGGATTCTAAATAGCAAAGGGTATAATAAAAGATAGTTTTGTGAAACAATACTTAGCCAAGGCCCAACATGTAATAAAAGCGTGACATTCATGAAGCTGGAAGTAGAAGGTTGGGTATAGTTGTACTGAGGACGTAGAGGCAAGAGGATCAGGAGTTTAAGACCAGCCTGAGCTACATAAAACTTTGTCTCAAAAAAATAGGGAAGAGAGGGGTGAAGAAAAACTGGAAGCAGAAATAGGAGCCAAGGAAGTAATGGGAAACTGGTCAGTTAAGACTCACCAGGCAAGGTGGCACACGCCTTTAATCCCAGCACTCGGGACGCAGAGGCAGGCAGATCTCTGTGAATTCAAGGCCAGCTTGGTCTACATAGTGAGTTCCAGGACAGCTGGAGCTACAGGGAGACTCTGTCTCAAAAAGACCAAAAAAAAATAAATAAATAAGAATTTAAGATTCTAGCTAAAGCCTGAGTGCTATTTGAAGATTTAAGAACAAACTGTTTTCATACTATATTACAAGCAAGCTGTATGTGAAAGTGCTTATCTTAAATTAACCAGTGCATTACAGACTGTTTAGTCTTTTTGTTTTGTTTTCTGAGACAGTCTTCGCACTTACCCCTGAGGTGGTACTTGCTCTGTATCCCACCCAGGCTGGCCTCAAACTCATGGGAATTCTCCTGCTATGGTATTCCAAAATAAGAGAAAGAGGAAAGAGCAGTGCTGTGCATCACAGTCTGAAGGTCTGGCTTGTTCAGTGCTCTCTAATCTCTCTCTTTTGAATCTGAAGTACACTGATAGCAGCCAGCATTCTAGTAGTTGAGGTTTGACATTATTTATTTTTACTCATCTGCTGGTCCAAGGGATTACAAAGATCAGATCCCAGCACATAAGATAGATAAGGTGCTGCTAATCATAAATTAATTTATCCTATTTTCCTCCACAGGAATTCAAAGAAGGACGAAGAGCCAGCCACACAGCCCCCCAGGTCCTTTTTAGCCACAGGGAACCTCCTCTAGAACTGAAAGACACAGATGCTGCCGTGGGTGACAACATTGGCTACATCACCTTTGGTGAGGCTGGGCTGTAAGGCAATGGTAGAGTGCCTAGCATGCACATAACCCTGTGTTCAGTTTTTAGCATTGCACAAAACATCAACCACCCTCAGTCAGCAAGGTGCAGTTGCCATTCATTCCCATGGCTGAGTGCCTGAATCTGGACAGTCTTGGCTAACATGTCTAGCAGGCAAAAGCAGGCATACCAGTGTATTTGTGTTTCCACTTGTCCTGTGGAAGGGGTATTACAGAGCACTGATTCTAGAGCAGGCAAGGTGCTATTTTGGTACAGTAATCGTTTCCTTTTTCTTTCTGTTTTTCTTAAAAGGGAAAGAGGTGACATGTCAAAAGTTAGGGATAAGCAAAGCCATTACTGTTTCCACTTTTGTTAGCCTCATAACTTGGCTGATCATGGTAGCTGACAGCCCATTCCCACACTGCACCTGACATGGCTGAAAGAATTATCCCTTTATGAAGCTTTATTTAACTCATCATTGAGCTGAGGGTATAGCTGTTTATTTCCAACTAATCTACCATATTTCATTCTATCTAAGCTGTACATTTTTCCCCAATATTTTTGTCCTTGAAATTGAGGTACATCTTACAGTTCATGGCATGTGAGTTTCATTGACAACATTTCTTTGTTTATGGCACATAAATCATGGTCAACTTGGAGTCAAATTTGTCTCCTAGCTTGATGTTCATTTCTTTTCAAGCCAAGGTAAAGGGAGAACCAGGAGTCCCACCCTTTCTTATGAGGCATTCCTATTCAGCAGAATTCACAGAGCTTGGGGCTCCTTGTGATAGTAAAATCATTGAGTACAGCGGGAACAGGAGCTAGAGAAGACTCCAAAAAGCTCAAAGGCAGGTCTGTACCAGTGCAAAGTCTACATGGTATCTATACAGGTCTATGGGTGGCTGAGCTAGCCACAGACAAAGCAACTTGTTCTTCTGGCCTGTCTAATGTTTAGTTTTCATTGCCAGAAGATTCTCTTTATTGTAATTTCTCTGATAGTCTACTTTGGCACCAAGGACTTAGGGCAGGCAGCATTGTTTCCTAAACCTAAAATCTAGAGTTGAGCATAGAATCCATATTTGGAGCGAGTTCCAGGGTCACACAGTTTTTGTGCCATGAGCTCCACTGTTGTCCTCATTGGCAGGCACCACCCTTAACTCTGCTGTTTATTCCTTCCTTGTCTCAAGAACCAAACCTTGGAGGAACAAAGCCTAGGAGGACTGAAACAAGGAGATTGTCCTTGTTCTGGGAGAGAGTTGATGGTAGCATTTGTGTCACCCCCTGATGCCTTTTTTGCTTCTCCTACCCTTAGTGCTGTTCCCTCGACACACCAATGCCAATGCTCGAGACAACACCATCAACCTGATCCACACGTTCCGAGACTACCTGCACTACCACATCAAGTGCTCTAAGGTGAGGGGCCACCAGCATCTGTTGTTTAGTCCTAATAGAAAGTTCCAGAGACCTTAAGAAATCATCTAATTTGAACCAAGAGTGTTGCTTGGTGGTAGAGCACTCGCCTAGCATGCTCAAAGCTCCATGTTTGGCCCACCCACTACCACTGACTCCCTTTTCCTCATCCAGCCCATGGTAGAGAGAGGAATATGTCTCTCTGGAATTGCTCCTTTTTCTGTTAACCTTCCCACCCAGGTTACCAAACTTCCTAAACTTAGCCTGGTTTATCCTAATTAAATCAAAGCTATAGTTCTACACTATGCATCTCCTTCAGTTCCTGCTGTGTTTGTTCCTAGGCCTATATTCACACACGTATGCGGGCAAAAACATCAGACTTCCTCAAGGTGCTCAACCGTGCACGCCCAGATGCCGAGAAAAAAGAAATGAAAACAATCACGTAAGTAGGACAGAACCACCTTCCTCTCCTGTGTGCGTCAAGAAATTATAGGTCCTGATGCCTGGAGCCCCCAGGTGACTGAGCAGTATGAGACCAGCAGGGACAGGCCTATAGCTACTAAATTGAAGATGAAATGAACAGTCTTTCACTTCTAAATGGTTTCTTTATTCCTGCTTCTTTGTGAACTACAAGAATGACAGCTAAGAAAAACAAGGACCTTTTAAGCAAAGGGCCTTTTTCACTAAGAAATTGTTTTCTTTGGACTTAATGAAAGATGTCTCGTCCTAGTATAGAGAGGTGCAGTCAATCACTTCAGGGTATTTAGTGGTATGAAGAGGCCTAGAACCAGTCAGTTCCTCAGTGTACTTTTTACTGGTCTGTTCTCAGCAGGGAAGGTACACAGGGCAAAGATTGCCTTTGTCAGAGAGAGAGATGACAAGCAGAGCAGTAAGCGGTATGGCTATGCTCAAGAGGCCAACATGATGTGCCTAGAGTTCACTCTGTGGCGCCTGGCATTCAGAACACTTTAAGCTCCTTCCCTGCAATGTAAGGCTATTTGAAAGGTCTCTGACTGAGTATTGAACAGTGTGTTAGGGTATTCAGCGGTAGGAACATCAGGTTTTGGTGGAAGTCACTTCTGGCTTTCTAAGCTGTCACCTAGGGCTCAAGGGTTAGCATTCAGCCTGTAGCTAGATCTCTGTTTAGTGAGATGGTATTAGATACCATGCTGTGAAGTGGAAGCTGCATAAGACATCTGAAGATGACAAAGCCAAGATGTGCAGGTAATGGTATGCCCAGGGAGATGCACGTTCTTAGTATCCCTTCAGAGCCTTGTCTGCACCCTAGCATCTTCCGTTTCTTTCCATTTGCTCTTTATACAGGAGTGCTTTTCCACCAGCCACCACTTTGGTGACCTAGAATAGAAGGGGAAAATTGCTGTGGGTGGTGTGTCAGAACTATACAGAAGCCCAGGTTGTGGCATGAACCTATGGTCCCAGCTACTCGGGGTGGTGAGGCAGGAAGATCGGTGAGCCCAGGAATTTGAGGCCAGCTTGGGCAACATTAGCAAGATCTTATCTCAAAAAACAAACCAGTGAGCTGGGAGATGGCTTAGTCAGTGAAGTGCCTGCCATACAAGCATAAGAAATGAGAATGGTTGGGTGTTCGTGCAGTTGCATGACATGTGCTGCCCTGAAAGCTTGTTACCCATGGGCACATTACCCATCTGACATGAAAAAAGAAATTAGGATCCCCATCACCCATGTAAAAGCCCAGCGTAGTGTCTTGTATCTACAACTCTAGTGCAGGGGGTCTGACAGGCAGATTCCATTAGCTCTCTGGCCAGCCATCCTAACCAGTCTGTGAGTGCCAGGTTCAATGAGAGACACTGTCTCAAAAAATATGGTGGAAAGCAGTAGATATGCTGCCAAATGAGGGAAAAGGAAGTAGAACTAGGTCCCTGTCCTGATACAAGTGGACCTGAGGAAAGATGATTCCTTAAAAGGAATAATAAATTGTGCACAAAACTCCATCCTGCTAAGTGTGGACAGGTTAGATTAGAGATCTTGTTTTTGCTCTCCTTTCCCATAGTTCTCAGTTCTTGATTCCAGGCTGCTTCACCAAGTATGTACCATTTACAGGCTGTCTTTGGGAATCTGGTGGCCCTTCTGGGGATACACTGAGTAGAGTAGGACACTACAGCTCAGGACCCTAGGATCAGGCATGTGTTCTCTGAGCCAGAGTGCAGTCACCACATGATAACAGAAGTGTCTTTAACCTTGAAAGTTTTGAAAATGGCTTTTAACTTCCTGCCCCCACAATGAAAGGTTAAGGAACTGTTACCTAATGGGATCAACTGGATAGGAGGAGCCTGAGTGAGCTGAAATTCAGGTCCATCTGACTATCTAAAATTTACAGACAAGTCAGGCATGGTGGCACATGACTTTAATCTCAGCATCTGGGAGACAGGCAGACAAATCTCTGAGTTTGAGGCCATTCCTGGTCTACATAGCAAGTTCCAAGACAGAGCTACATAGTAACACTCTGTCTAAAAAAAAAAAATTACAAACAAGCAATTCTCCCATTTGCTAGATATATTTAATGACTGTATGGGTTCAACATGGACTTACTTAGTATTGGCTAGAAAGAAAGACAGCAAGGCCATTCTGTGAAAGCTAGATCTTGGCCATGCCCTGTGGCTCTAATACTTTACCTGAGGAATCTTCTCCTTTCCTTCTTGTTTTGTGGTTTGGCATCCCACTCCCAATCTAAGAGTGTAGGGTGGAAGGAAAGGACATCTGGAAATGAGCCTTCACTCCATCTCTGCTTTTGAAGGGGGAAGACATTTTCATCCCGCTAACTCTTGGGAACAGAAGAGGAAGCATTGTCGACCGAAGGCTGGATCGCTTGCTACTGGATAATCGTAGCCCTGAATGTTGCACCTCTCCAGGTTCTTAAGGGATTCTCCCTTTGGGTTCCATTTTGTACGCATTTGGAAAATAATCTGCAGAAACGAGCTGTGCTTGCAAGGACTTCATAGTTCCCAAGAATTTAAAAAAGAAAAAAAAAAGAATTCCACTTGATCAACTTAATTCCTTTTCTTTATTCTCCTCCCTCACACCCTTCCCACCCTTTTCCAAGCTGTTTCGCTTTGCAATATGTTACTGGTAATGAGTTGCAGGTAATGCAATCTTAACTTGTTTTCTTCTAAATATTTGAGTTCAAAACTCCTGTATCTAAAGAAATACGGTTGGGGTCATTAATAAAGAAAAACTTTTATCTTATATGAGATTTTTCTGGGTTTCTGGATTGTAAGTTGAAAGGGGAGAAGATGGAAAGGATGGACTTATACTGCCCTTGAACCTGAAAGTCTATGCTAGAAAACCTCTTGTTCAAGAGCCCATATAGTTTGGATCTTCCTTTCTCTAGAAGAAAGAAGGGCTGGCTTGTGAATGTAAAGTTGGAAGGGCTGTTTGTTTTGCAGAGGTTTTTGGTTTTGTTTGTTTCTCACTTTGTATCCCAAATTGGCCTCAAACTGTCAGCAATCTTCATGCCTCAGCTTTCTTCTTGAGTTTCTGGGATTATAGGCATGAACCAACCTGTTTGTTGGCTTGTTTCTTTGTGACAGGATCATTCTCTCTATATAGCCCAACATGCCCTGAAATTCAAGTCCTCCTGTGTCTATCTCCTGTGTGCTGGAATTAGAGATGTGCCCCACACATGAGCTCTGAACTTGAACATGCATCCTGTGGTATAAAGCTTGATTATTAAAACTAGCTGGTGCTGAGTGGCTAGCTAGGAAACTCCCTGAAAGTTATAGGCAAATTAAAATGTTCTCTGGAACTAGGGATCTATCCCAATTGATACACTGCTTGCCTAGCCATGCAAAAACCCCTGGGTTCCATTCCTCAGCACCACATAAACAGGGCTTGGTGGTGTACACCTTTAGTCCCAGCACTTGGAGGGGAAAGCAAGAGGATCAAAGGTTCAAGATTATCAGCTCTACAGTGAACTTAGGCCAACCTGGGCTACATGATACTCTGTTCAAAAAAAAAAAAAAATGCTTTCTAGCTTGTTCTTTAATCATAAATTATATATGGCATTTCCTAAAATATGCTCCATACAGTTCTACAGGACATTGATGGAGATTTGGGTGTGGAGTTAATGCAAACTGGCTAGCCATAGGTCCTCTTTCTTGCATATCCTAAGCGATTGGCTTACTCCACAAAGCTCACTTTGGGAGATGTCTGCCTAACAAGTAGACAGGAGTCTAGCAGAGCATGCTGTTCCCTAGTAAGACACTGGCCCCAGAAATTAAATTTGCTTGGATGAGGTATTATCTGGAATTTTAGGGGATCCAAAATTGGTTTAGGGAATCCAAAATTGGTTTGGAGGCTGTCCTCTCTTTTTGTCTCCATTTCAGGTAATATGTTTCAAACTCGCTTGAGAATCAGTGAATTGTACAATCACCTGACTATATATATCCAGCACTTTTATCTACTAAAATTTTAATTTTAAGAGATAATGATAAATTTAGATGATAAATTTATTTGCATGTAATTCATTAGAAATAATACAGAGAGATTCTGTAGTTTTCCCAGTGGTGACACCTTGAATGGTGATAGCCCAGTATTACACCAAGAAATTACATATAGGGCATCTACTTTCTTCACATCTAACCTGTTTTACTTACACTTGTCTGTGCTTGTATTTTGTATTACTGTGCGTTTGTCTTACTTTGGTAGCTTGGTATAACACAGGCTGGAGCAGTCACTGCATCACACGCTTTGATTGGAGACATGGTTTTGTGCATGCACACCAGGGCAGAATTGGAGAACTTACACTCATTTTTGTCCAAGAAATGTAAAAGCCCTAGGTTGCAGACTGTTTAGTCATTACACCTCATTTTATTTCATTGGCATGGGTTCCTAGGGACCTGCAGGTTCTCCTAGTTTCCTGCTTCTGGAAGGTAGAAATTGAGGTTAAATGTAAATAATATAACAAACAATAAGTAGTATCTTGAGAGAAGGTGGCATGTAATCTTGACTACATAGCTATTTAAGAGGATTTCAAAGGTAATTTTGATGGATTTTTACATTGTTTTTGTTTTTTGATGCGATCTTTGTAAGTCAGGCCAGCCTCTGCCTCCCAAATGCTGGGATTGTGCAAGCACCACTGTGGTCAACGACTTTCATCTTCACTCCATTTTTAAAATATTTTATTTATTGTTACTTTATGTGCGTAAGTATATTGTCTGCATGTGTATAATAAGTGCACCTGTGTTGTGCAATGCCTGAGGAGGTCAGAAGACAGTGTTGGATCCCCTGGAACTGGAGTTATTAACTGCCATGTGGGTGCTGGAATTCAAACACGGGTCCTCTGCAAGAGTAGCCAGTGCTCTTAACTGCTGAGCCATTTCTTCAGCCCCCATTCAGTTTGTTTTTTATAGAATGTTACTATGTAGCCCAAGCTGATCTCAAACTTATAACAATCCTCCTGCCTCAGCTTTCCAATGCTGAGATTACAGGTTTGAGCCTCTAAATCTGGCTAGCCCCAGCTGACCTGGAACTCATTATGTAGTCCAAACTGGCCTCCGTCTCACAGAGATCCACCTTCCTCTGCCTCCCCATTACTGGGATTAAATGTATGCACCACCACATCCAACTTCATTTTTTGCCAGTTTCATATTTAAGATATGAAAAATAAAATATTGTGATTATATTCATACCCCTTCCACTTATGGACCCCTTTTTCCCACCGAGTCTCCCAGTGTTTATACCATTAGAGAAAATGATCCCCTCTCCCCTAGCATCCATAAACAGTCATTACTACTCAGGAAGGGATGAGACTGAGACATCATGGGCACCTCCACTATTCCATCATCAAGAATTGGAGGGCCCAGACTAGTACGGGTATCCATAGCTGCTTGTGTGCTCGTGGTTCTAACTTGGTAGTATTTCATGACTCTTCCCATTCTCTAACTCTTAAATTCTTTTTGCCTTCTCTTCTGTGATGATCATGCTGACTAGAAGAGAGGGACATTTTCTTCAGTGATGCAGCCACTGGTAAGGTGTCCGTGCTTCTGCAGTTATGGACAATTGCTAGCCGTCATGTGGGTGCTGGGAACCAAACCCAGGTCTTCTGCAAGACCAACCAGTTCTCTTCACTACTGAGCCATCTCTCCAACACCCACTTTAAAGATTTTTTTTCTGGTCTTTTTGAGACAGGGTCTCCCTGCAGTCCCAGCTGGCCTGGAACTCACTGTAGACCAGGCAGATCTGCCTGCCCCTGTCTCCCAAGTGCTAGGATTAAAGGTGTGTGCTACCACATCCAGGCCTTTGACAGAATTCATGTTCAAAGTCCTAGAGGGAACTGGATTGGAGGGAATATACCTCAAAATAATTAAAGCCATATATAACAAACCCACAGCCAACATCATTCTAAATGGAGAAAAACTGGAAGCATTCCCATTGAAATCAGGACCAAAACAAGACTGTCCACTATCTCCACTCCTCTTTAACATAGTGCTTGAAACTCTTGCAAGAGCAATAAGAGAAGGAAATTAAAGGAGTAATAATTGGAAGAGATCAAATTATCCCTTTTTTGCAGTTGATACTATATCTAAGAGACACCAAGAATTCCACTAGAAAACTCCTAGAAATCTACACGTTCAGTAAAGTGGCAGGTTACAAAATTAGTCTACAAAAGTCTGTAGCCTTTCTATATACCCATAACAAGCAATCAGAGAACGAGTACATGGAAACACTCCCATTCACAATAGCCTCAAAAACAAAACAAAAAACAAAGCCTAAGAATAAAAATACGAGATTTTAAATATCTCAATTAATATTGTGAAAATGACCATCCTACCAAAAGCCATTTATAGATTCAATGCAATACCAATAAAAATCCCCATGACATTTTTCACAGATGTGGAAAAAAACATCCTAAGAGTCATATGGAAGCACAAAAAACCTTGGATAGCCAAAGCAACCCTGAGCACCAAGAGCAGTGCTAGGGGGATTACTATACCAGATACTAAACTGTATTACAGACCTATAGTCATAAAAACAACATGGTATTGCCACAAAAATAGACCCATAGATCAATGGAACAAAATTGAAGACCCAAATATGAGTGCATGCAATTTCAGCCACCTGATATTTGACAAAGGGGCCAAGAACGTTCACTGGAGGAAAGACAGCATGTTCAGCAAATGGTGGTTGCAAAACTGGATCTCCACTTTAAAGAGTTTTAAAATTGTGTGTGGGTATGTGCATATGTGCTCAAATGCCTGAAGAAGCTAGAGGCATCGGATCCCCCTGGAGCTGGAATTAAAGGCAGTTAAGCACCACCTGATGTGAATGCTGGGTCCTCTGCATGAGCAATATATACTCTTAATAGCTGAACCATCTCTCCAGACCTAGATTCCTTTATATAACTCAAGACCAGACAGAATATGGAGTGGGGGTTTTGGTTTTGGTTTTTTGGTGGGGGGCTTGTCTTTAGTTTGAGATAGGGTAACATAGCCCCAGCTGGCCTGGAACTCAGAGAGATCTGCCTGCCTCTGCCTCCCAAGTGCTGGGATTAAAAGCGTGTGCTACCACCGCCAACAAATAAGGACTTTTTTTTTTTGTTTGGGGGTTGTTTTGTTTTGTTTTAGAGAGAAGGCCTCCCCGTGGGCCCACCTTGCCTGGAACTCACTGTGTATACCAAGTTGGCCTGGATCTCAGATCACCTACCTCTGCCTCCTGAGTGCTGGAATTAATGGTGTGCACCACTGTGCTAGAAGTAATTGGAGTCTTGGAGGAGTGGTGTCTAAGGCATACTTCATTCTGTCGGGGTTTTCCACACCTTCCCTAAGATAGTTGTACCATGCCCTGCTTGGGTAGCCTTTATTGGAGGGAGGAATGTTGGAGTGGTTGAGGAGGGCAGGAATCTGTAGATCTGAATTGAGGGATCTGTTCTGGGCAAGCTAAGAACAAGGAGTTTGGCAAGAAAGGAAACGAGAATACAGTAGGAAATGGGGGTGGGAGGAGGTTGGTCAGGGAAGGAAATAGCCCTCGCTGCTGCATTAAGCTACTTAATAGACACTGGTATGTGGCAGTTGACATCTAGTTGCCATCTTCTATCAAAGTCCCACTGACCCCCCCTCCTGAATTAGCATTCCAGCAGTGCTGCCCTGTTCTGCAATGCGTGGCTCCTAGGGTCCATATCAGACCCCAGACAGCCATCCTAAACCTGGGGAATCAGACAGGATCCTTTTTTGTGTATGTAGTAGGACTGTGCCAGAATTCAAGCCAACGTTCTCACACAGCATCAACTGGTCCTCAGCTTGTTTATATTCCAGCCCAGTTGTGGTCATTTAGATTTAAGGGCCCAGTTTCTTCTGGCTAAACATTGAATACAACTTCCTGAAGCCAGCAATCTGGCCATCCATTACAGTATCTGAAAAGTTAGATCCATATCTGTAATCCCAGCACTTGGGAGACTGAGGCAGAAGGATCAGGAGTTCTAAGGCTATGCTGGGCTACATACCAAGACCATGTCTCAGGAGAAAGAAAAAAAGTACTAACAGTAACTGGGGAGGCAGTCCAGGGTCCAGGAAGCTTCACATCCTGCCTCTCTGGGGCAGACTTTTGTGTGTGACTGCTCTCAGGCCTCACCCACCCAGTCCCAAATGCAACAGAAAAGTAAAATATGAAAGAGGACCAAAGAAACCCAGGAGGCTTCTGACAGTCTAGATTGGGTCACCCCAGTACCTGTTCTCCATCAGAAAGACCGCAGGTTGGGGGCACAGCCAGCAGATGGAGCATCTAAAAACTTGCTCCAGAGCTTTCTGTGGGTGGAAGGGCAGAGCAAGGTGATGAGTCACGCCCCAGGCTTGACAGTTGCAGAGAAGCAGCAGATGAGCTGCTGGTGAGGGAGAAGCTGAGCTGAACACAGGAGAGAACCCAGGCTCTCCAGCTCCCACTGCCCAAGCTGTTCCCCCTCATATGTCATACCACACACAGTGTTTAGACAAAGCAGAGAAGAAACACAGATATCCTGGATCTCTGGGGAAGGAGGCCTGGCTGGGAGTACAAAACAGTCTATTTATTCCTGGCAGTCCTGTATCTGAGGAGTCTCGTACCACTTCAGTTCAGACTCAGGCTGAACTCTCCCAGAACCTATGACTTCTGCCCCACCTCTCTGTGGGTCTGAGAACTGTGTGCTGGCTTCCTGGAGGATGGGCTTGAGGCTGCCCTGCTTAATCTCCCAGAAGTCCCACCTCTCATGGACCCCGAAAAGTGACAGGATAGGCAGTGCCAGAGTCTTCAGGCCTCCTGCCTTTGGGGCCACCTTTCTCCACAGGTACTAGAGTCCCCTCACTTTCACTCCAGCTTTCTTGCTGTGGCCTCAGCCTACTTCCTTCTGTTTTCAGGCCTTAGGGAGTGTCACTGAGCTCTCTGCCCCTTACCCTAAAGTTGTACTTCAGGTGGAAATCAAGATATCCCATGCTTCCACTCTGAACTTGCCTTTCTCTCAGTCTGCCATTTCCAGTTTTCCTGTGGAGCAATATTGCCATTCTTCAGTTTTCATAAGCTATTAGCCTTTCTGAGCAGAGTTCTTGTTTGGAGGGGACAGGTGTGGAAATCCTAATGATGTTAGCATTAATAATAATCACGTGCTCACAAGCCAAGTGCTGACCTGTTGTTACCTCATTTGCACAAAAGGTGAGTACTTTGGAATGGGGAGGTATTCCTTTTTTTGTTTTTGGGTTAAGAAGGGTTTGTTTTTCTGCTGTTGTTTTTGAGACAAGGTCTTAATTAACTATGTTTCTGAAGCTGGCTAGAACTCACTGCAATCTTCATGTCTCAGCCTCCTAAGTGCTAGGATTACAGATGTGAGCCATCAGGCCCGACTTAGGTAAGTACAATAAGTACAATTTTGAGCTCCATTTTGCAGATGAAGAAACTAAGAGAACTTCAACGGTTTGCCAAAATTCACACAACTAAAGCCATGGCACCACAGCCAGCTCTTCTCATGCCAATATCAACTTTAACTGTAAGCCCATTAGAGGAGGAGTCACTTGTTGATCTGACTTCCCCTCTTTACCATCAAGCACTGCTGTTTCGATGGTTGCCTATATTACCCCATGACATTGCCCACAACAACCTCAAGAGGTGTTTTTTCTTTTTTGCGGGGGTGGGGGTGGTGGGTTGAGACAGGGTTTTACTGTAACTCTGGCTGGCTTCAGACTCAAGTGATCCTCCTGCCTCAGCTTCCAAATGTTGGAATTATAAGCTTGAGTCACCACACCAGCTCCATTTATACCTTATGCATAGCCCAAAACTTGACTCAGAAAATAGTTAGTGGGGAGCTGGAGAGAGAGCAGTTAAGAGCATGTGCTACTGTTGCAGAGGACTGAGTTTGGTTCCCAGCACCCAGGTTGGGTGGTTCCCGACTACCTGTACCTCCAGCTCCAGGAAGATGCCTCTGACCTCCACAGGCACCTGCACACATATGCACATACCCACACACATGCACATAATTAAAAATAAAATCTTAACAGTTGAGAACTGACACATAATTAAAAATGAAATTAACAACAAAAAGTTGAGGGATAGGATATAGCTCAGTTGGTAGAGTGCTTGCCCACCATGCATGAAGCCCTGGGTTCAATGCCCAGCACAGTATTAAAAAGAAGTAGGGAGTGTCTGGAATGTGTTACTGAATATGTTAAAGCTGTAATGAAATGCTGCTTCTAATCATGTGGTTATTAAATTTAAAAAATTTTTAAAAACAGGGACTGGAGACAGACATGCTGACACACAACTATAATCCTAACACTTGGGAGATGAAAGCAGGAGGATCAGCAGTTCAAAGTCATCCTTGCCTACATAGGAATTTGAGGGGCTACAGGAAACCCTTGTCTCACAAAAGTAAAAATAAAAACAGTTGAGAGGTGCAGGATGACCCCAAAGTCAGGAAGACCATGGCTGTATTTCTAAGCTGAAAGTCTTCTTAGGAAATGGTGCTCACTGAAGATCTTCAGGCCCCCAACCCCCACCGTCTCATACTCACATGCATGTACCCTTTTGGTATATCACCAGGAATATAGAGCTGGCTGTGGACCACTGGCTGGCCATTCAGTTCAAGATGCCTAAAACGGTTCTGTTAATGGAGGAGGGTGTATGCCATACATTATTATTCATTAACTAAATGTGTTTCCCAGATGAGTTCCTCCCAGAAGTGAGGAACTACCACGCTAGGTGGCTGACCACTAGGGAGAGGGTCACTAGTACATAAGGGGAGGTCTCTCAGTAGAAGCTACTCAGGATGTGCCAAGTCCCACCCCCAGAGGTGGAGCCAAGACAGCCCTGCTAGCCTGGGCTCCTCCATCCCTCCAGGAACTCAGGCCAGGGCAGAGTCTGGGCAGACAAGCCTGGTTCCTGTTGTCCCCAGCATAGAAGCACCATGCACTCGTTGGCCAGGATACCAGATGAGGTCCGAAGCCCTGCAAGAAGAGCTGCTGTGACTCCCTGACCCTCAGAGAAAAGCTCAGCTGGTGAGCACCACCTGTCCCTAACAGCCATGTGAGTAGCTATTCCCCTCTCTCCTCTCCAGGCCTGATCCTGAAAAGATCACTGTATTGGTGCAAGCCACTAGGGTAGATGGGTAACATAGCCTACACCCTACCAGGACATCACAACTGGAGGTTGAACTCTGCCCTTCTTGCTCCTCTGGGGGAGACCAGTGAGAAACTCATGCCAAGGAAGGGCTCTGAGTTCCAGCTCAGGCCAGGTCTTGAAGGGTTTAATAAAGTACATGGTATAGAGAAAGAAGGGGAACAAACAAGGGGACTGCTGGATCAGGAAAGATAGGTCCTGCATGGAGGGTTCTCAGGGATATGAACAGGCTAAGGAGGGGGGGACAGCAGATCTGGGAGCAGCTGGAAAGAAAGAGCATCTCTCAGCCAAAGTGATCATAGAGTTGACACTGATCCTGGGAAAAGAGGCCAGGGAAGGGGAGGCAGAATCCTTCCGTATTGACTTTGATCCTAGCAACAGCAGATGCTCCCCTGTTGACAGAACAGGAGCTCCCACAGAATCCAGGACCCCTCCCCCTGGCCCTAGCTTGTGGCTTGGGGCTGAGACCAGGCAGTAAGGCAAGGATGGTGGTGGGTAGTTTGGAGGGTTTCCTCCCTGTCCTCTGGACTCAGCCTCATGAGATACAAGGTCCTCTCCTTGCTCTTGGCACCCCTAGTTCTTTACCAAGTATCTCCCCCACCCTTCCCTCTAGTTCCCAGGAAGGGCCTGTTGCTAGTGTGGAACGGACGAGTCAAGTTTATGGGCTGGAAGTCCTACCCAGAGGCTGTTCACTGAGCTGTAACAGTCTCCAGTGTGGGAGAGGGTGGGGATGCAGTGACAGGACACTCTGCTACTTCCCAGTCCTGGCCTGCAGGAGCCTTTCACCCAGTGACTGGCTGTGAGCCCATCCCCACCAACCAGGCCTGTCTTTTGGCATCTTGGGGGCAGGCAAAGATGAACAAAATGCTTTGGGTGGGTCCACTTTCAGACTAAACAGAGGCATAAACACAACTGCCCAGAGGCCTGGCAAATAATCGGGCTTGGTGAAGCTGCTTGCTGGGCACTGTGGTGATCACCCTGAAGGGCAGCCTCTACTCAGATACCATACCATCTGTGTTGCCAAAACTGATTTTTTTCTAAGAGAAACCAAAACTGACTTTTTTCTATTTAACTTTTTCTTTAATTGGCAACTACTTGAGAAACTGTATCAGCACACAGGCTATGGCCCACAGTCCATGGGTCTGCAATCTCTGGATTAATGTGCAGTCCCCACCAGGAGAACAACCTAATTAGGCCCCAACCTAATTCTGGCCGCTCCCCTCCTCCATCCAGGCATGCCGACTGCAGCTCCAAGCCTCCCCCATGCCAAGACCCAAGATGACACCCAACAGCACCGGGGAGGTGCCCAGCGCCATTTCCATGGGGGCTCTGGGGCTCTCCCTGGCCCTGGCAAGCCTCATTGTTGTCGCCAACCTGCTCCTGGCCCTGGGCATCGTCAGAGACCGCCACCTGCGCAGCCCACCCGCGGGCTGCTTCTTCCTGAGCTTGCTGCTGTCAGGCTTGCTCACAGGGCTGGCACTGCCCATACTACCCGGGCTGTGGAGCCACAGCCGCCGAGGCTACTGGCCCTGCCTCCTTCTGCACTTGGTCCCCAACTTCTCCTTCCTCTCCCTGCTGGCCAATGTGCTTCTGGTACATGGGGAGCGCTGCGTGGCAGTGTTACAGCCACTCCGGCCCCGGCCCTGTGGGAACATACAGCTGGCCCTCCTTCTCACCTGGGCCAGCCCCCTGCTCTTTACCAGCCTGCCTGCTCTGGGCTGGAACCACTGGAGCCCCGATGCCAACTGCAGCTCCCAGGCTGTCTTTCCAGCCCCCTACCTCTACCTCGAAGTCTATGGGCTCCTGCTGCCTGCTGTGGGGGCTGCTACCCTTCTCTCAGCCCGTGTGTTAGTCACGGCCCACCGCCAGCTACAGGATATCCGACGACTGGAGCGGGCAGTATGCCGCAACGCACCCTCTGCCCTGGCCCAGTCTCTCACCTGGAGGCAGGCCAGGGCGCAGGCGGGGGCCACACTGCTCTTCACACTGTGCTGGGGGCCCTATGTGGCCACACTGCTCCTGTCAGTCTTGGCCTACGAGAAGCGCCCACCACTGGGGCCTGGAACTCTGTTGTCCCTCATCTCGTTAGGCAGTGCCAGTGCAGCGGCTGTGCCTGTGGCCATGGGTCTAGGTAATCGACGTTACACAGCCCCCTGGAGGGCTTCCACCCAAAGATGGCTGCAGGTGATTCGGGGAAGAGCCAACAGGAATAGTCCAGGCCCCAGCACCGCCCACTACACCACTAACCAAAGCAGCATTGATCTGGACTTGAGGTAGAGGAAGGGCTGGGGCTGCCTCCTTAGAGCATCTGTCCATCTCACATGCCCTACTTCAGATTGGAGCCCCTACCCCATGAGACCTACCCTAACCAAATAAAGCTCCTCTGGCCACCACCACTGGATATCTCATCCAGATTTCAGAAAGGGAGGCAGGCAGACTGACTCAAAGACAGAGCACCAAGGGAGATTGTACCTCCAAACAGCCAGACATCGTGGTATTAAATATAAACCACAGGAGGGTGGGCTGACATCCCACACCCTGCCTCGCCCTGCACGGCCTTCCTCAGTTCCTCCTCCAGTTTAACCACCACAAAATGCACACAGACACTGCTTCTGGGAAGTATATTTTATTTACATTTTTAAAATCTGTAACTAGTCTCTCTTCCTCCTTTCCATCCCCCAGAGACTTGGGAAGGGAAAGAACGGGAACCTCAAAGACCTACCCCCCCATACAAAGACGCACCCCATGGCTCACACCAGCAAATGAAAGTGAAAGAAAAGTGGGACTCCTTCTGAAGGTCCCCAGGGCTGGATGGGGAGGGAGGGCCTGGCAGGTGGGTCTCTAAGGAAGAAAGGGACATGGGAGGCAGATCAGCTGAAGGGGTTGGAAAGCAGTCCAAATGCCCTCCCCTCATCTTCCCTCTGCACCCTGCACTTCTTCAGGGGGGCAGGAGTCTCCTTTCATCCTCAACACCAGACACCACGCCAGAGGCTGCAACCTTTAACGGTCAGGTCTCTGCACACAAAATACTTTCGCTTTGTGGTCTCCTGATGTCGTCACCACCAGGGAAGCATCTCTGTGGACAGAAATCAGGGATGGGATAAAGGGACTAAGGAACCCAGGGCCTAGTCCCAAGCCCATTCCCCAGGAGCCCTAGGGCAATTCTCTAGCACACCCTCTATTCTAGGTCTACTGAGTCCTGCACTTGGTTCACAGGCCCTTCCCCCAAATCCAGAGAGCTTTGGCTCCCTCATCTTCATCCATAAAACCCATAAGAGGATCAGTAGAGAAAACTCCCTGCATGGGAGCAACATAGAACCAAGTGGGACCAGCCTCTCAGCCTCCCACCCTATCATAGATCACTGCCAACCTGGAATGGGGCTGGAGCCCAGATCTGTGCTCGCCCAAGTGGCCTAGCATTCCTTCCTCAGGGTACAGCCAGGCTCTCCTCCTACCCCCAAAAAGCTCCAGCATCACCCCATGCCAGGCCCACTTTCCAAACAGGTGCCTGCCCTTGCCCATTCTGCTTACTTGCTGAGAGCAAAGTCCAGAATCTCAGCAGTGTGGCCCCGGTAGTCAGTGAGTAGGCGGCCGGTCCGGGCATCCCAGAGGCGCACAATACCATCCAGGCTACAGGTGTACACCACAGCAGTGCCAGCCTCCCAGAGCAGCTGCACAATGCCCGACTGCCCAGGTATGTGAAACAATGACAGATCAGAGCAGAGGTCAGGGGAGAAGGGAGAACACCCTATCCCCACCTCATAGAGGAAGGGCCACAGAGGACAGAGCAAGAGTCAAGTGTGGGGCACACGCTCCCAGAGGCCCTAGCTACTCCATAGCCAGGACAACAGCCCACAGAATGGGAACACAGTCCCAGGCACCAGTACCATACCTGGTGCTGACACTGGTGCCGAAGTGTCTGTGTGGACAGGTCATAGATGGCCAAAGTTCCATCCAGATAGCCAACAGCAGCCAGAGGCATCCTGGGAAGCAGACAGCAAAAGGAAGCCTACTAAGGCCCTGGACACCCACACCTTCCCTCATCCCTGGCCCCTAGCCCAGGCCTCTCCCCAAAGCCACCTCCTTCAGTCTCTTGGGTCTCCAGATCAAGGCTCTGCTCATACTCACACAGTGCAGAAGCCCAAGGACTCCACTGAGTTAGATTCACTCTCTTCCCCCTCTCCCAGGCTGGGCTGGGAGGCCACAGTCTCAGGTCTGAACACACCCACCACCTATGGGAAAGAGGAGAGAGTCTCAGGAGAACTGGGCTCCTGCTCCCCTGACATAAGAAAGGGGAAGGGAAAGGGTAAAGCAGAAGGTTCAGCCAAGCAGAGGCACCAAGCTACTCACCTTGCCAGTTGTGGCACTGACCAGCTTAGCCTGGCAGTCCACAGAGCCAGTGAGGATCAGGCTCCCATCCTGGTTGGTGGCAACACAAGTCAGAGGGCCCTGGTGACCCTCAGTCCCTAGGATGGAGGAGGGAAACACAGGCTGAGTCCTGCACCTGGCTCTCAAACCCATCCCTCAAGCTTGGGTGAACACCTCCCCCACTTGTGATACCTTTCAGTACATGGATGGGGCTTCCCTGCTTCAGGTCCCAGATCCTGATGGTGCCATCTTCATAGCCTACCACAGCTCTCTTCCCTAAGGGCCAGAGGCAATGATGATCACAGGCCAGAGGGTACACTCAGACATAACCAAGCAGAGAATGGACAGGAAAATAGAATTGGGGGCCCCAAAAATCCCTCCTTGGACACACAGGTGAAACCTAGTAAGGGGCTGATGGCTGTGGTTGCCCCAAGAGCAGACCTGAGTCTGCTAGCTGTAGCTCAAGTAGGTGAGAACCCAGGATCCACCTCTGCCCCCTGGAAGAGACGCTCAGGGCAGTTCTCACCATCCGGGAGGACTCGGCCACAGGTTGCCGGACAGTTGGGGCCTTGGAAGGGCTTGCAGTCACCATTTGGGACCTTCCACATCCAAGTATTGCCGTCAGCCGTGCCTGCCAGCAGGACAGGTGCCCGAGGGTGCCACTCCATCCACTGGCAGAGAAGAAGGATTAGCAGCAAGGCCTGCCCCTTAGCCTATCTAGGAGCCCATGAGCCCCATTCAAGGTGTCCCTACTTCTTGGGTCAGCAAGAACCTTGCATGTAATCAGGTACATTGCTATAGGTGGGGTACACTGGCTCAAAGCAGACTTATCCAGTACAGATAGCCCACCCCCCACCCCCAGCTCTCACCCCTACCTGAGGTCCCACAACAGTTGAATCCCACTCCAAGGATCTCACCTCCAGGTCTCCTGCTTCAAAGGACCAGACCTCTTCCTTCGTGTCTACCTGCCATACTTTCAAAAGACCACTCATGTCCCCTGTAGCCACTAGGGTCGAGTCATGACTGAAAGCAGCACACGTCACAGAATCTTTATGGCCTACAAAGATAAGTGGGCAGATTCCAAACCCACCTGGACTATGTAGAAAGTTCAAGGCTAGCCCAATGTATATAGCCCATTAAAAAAACAAAACAACAACAACAAAAAAAAAAAGCAAGAAAGCAAACCAAGAAATCAATAAAGTATGATCCAGGTACCTGGCCACCTTTTTAAAATGACCAACTAGAAAAAATGGTAAGAGGCCTTAGCAGAATAAGTGGCCAAACATACTGCACTCCCAAGGACCAATAACAAAAACACATGCTATTGCCTCCACTAACTACTCAACCATCCAGAGCCTGTCTCCTAGGCCATGCACCCCCACCCCTCTTCTGCACCTCCATCACCATCTCCTCTTAGCCCACCCTAGCTAGACTCCCTTGGCCATCTAGTACCTCCTGCCCAACTCCATGCCCATGAGACCATTACTTGTCTTCTATGGGTTCTTGGGGTCCAGTGCAAGGCAGAGGTCTGTAAATGGCTGCTGGACAGTCAACCGCCGCAGGCCATCCGCTAAGACACACCCTCCCCAGCCTCTCACCTGCACACTCAAAGAGCAGCTCCCCATCACTAAGCCTCCATACAAAGGCTTTGTCATCTTCACCGCCTGTCACTGCCAGGGTGTTGGTCTTGGGGTCCAGGCTCACACAAAACACAGATGCTGTCCCAAGAGATAGTCCATGAGTAAGAGGACAGAATGGAGCACTCACCTAGAGTTCTGTCCTTCAGAACCTTTAAGAAACCCACCCCATTTCCCCAAAGTCATAGGTCTTCCCCTCTTGGAAAGGAAGAGTGCATCTAGTTCTTGTTTCAAGCATAAAGTTGTTAGAGAAATCCTCTTCCAAACCCACCAAGTCCTCCTCCAGGGCACATCCCTCTGCTGTTCTGTTCCCTCACCATCCCACTCTGAGAGGCGATAGCCAAGAGATGGGTTTATGTGCAGAGCTGAGAGTTATCATGGGATACCATCAGGCTGGGTATGAATCAAGTAAGGAAAGCTTCAATTCAGGAGCCTGGCTTACTATGGAAAACATGCTCATTTTGGAGTGCCAATGACTTCTAATTTCTACTAGGTTACTTCTAGTTCCATCCAAGACAACTTTTTAAAGAAAACTAAGATCCAGAAAGACTAACAAAGGTGGTAAATGTCCAGGGCCAACAGGCCAAGCTCAAATGCCCACCTGGACTGTTGAAGTGATCTCTCAAAGACCTACCTGAGTGTAACGCAAAGGTGACCTCGCTATCATCAGGACCCTCCATGCTGCCGACCACCCCTTCCTGAGGTTCCAGGACCCAGCCCTCCTCATTGCCCTCTTCCTCTTCTTCCTCTTCCTCAAAGTCCACGTCTTCCATTTCCTGGGCGAGATCATCTGCTTTGGGGAAAACGTTAAAAGATGGGGCACGGAAGGTGTAATAAGAGGGAAGGAGTCAAGACTGAGGAGGCCGAGGCTAAAAGGTGGGTCATGTGGCCAGAGGGTAAGATGTGTCTTGTCTTGTGACCAGAGTTAGGTAAGGTAGTGTCGGGCAGATAGGTGTAGGGGATAGAAGGAGGGATCTTGGCACCCCACGAGGGTGGTGGGGAGCAGAGGTCTGAAGACCTGGCGTTGGCCAGCAACCATGTAGGAAGAGAGGACAGAGGGCATGCTGGGAAGGGGGTGTGTGAGGGGAAGGGCCAGGGGAGGCGTCAAGGAACCCCCACCCAGCCAGGCCTCGGAATAAGTGTGGGGGTAGGGGAGGCAGGCCGGGAGAGAGAGGTCGGTAGGAACGACCGGTAAGGGGTAGAGGGGAAGGGGAGAAGCAGGGGTCAGAGGCCAGGAGTGAGCGCCTCCTGTACTGTGGCCTCAGCAGCGGTAGTTCTCACCCGGGTCCGGGGGACCTGGATCCAGCTCTACCACTTCAATGATCTCTTCATCACCATGGAAGCTTAGGGTCTCCAGCGGGGGGGTGTCAGCGGCCGCCCCGCTCTCCGATTCGGACTCCATGCGGCGTAAGCTACCGATCCACTTCTCTGGGCCCAAACGCCTCCCAGAGTCAGCTCTGCGCGACGACGCGGAACTCGAGCCCCTCCTCCCAGGAGGAAGTAGGCGTAGGCGACTCCCGGGCTGAAGGTGCTACGGCATCCCAGCCAATAGCGACGGGGGTGGACTGGCTGAATGGCCAATCACAAGCAGAACTGGAAGACCAGGCTGGGGCGTGGCGGGAGAGCCCAAGCTCCGCCCGATCTGACTCCGCCCCCAGCAGGAGGGAAACAAGCGAGCGTGCGCGCCTCGCGGGTCTCCTGGGAGGAGTAGTTCTCCCAGGCTCGCCCCGCAGGCTTCTGGGAGCTGTAGTTTCTGATCTGTAGGCAGGACGGAAGGTGCGGGGGAGGCCCCTTACGCAAACTACAATTCCCGGCGGGGAGCGCGGTGAAGGGGGGGGTGGGACCTGAACATGGCGGCGGTGGTAGCTGCTACGGCGCTGAAGGGCCGGGGGGCGAGGAACGCCCGCGTCCTCCGGGGTAAGGAGAGGGACCCCAGGGAGGGCAGGGCTCTAGAAGATCTCATCCTCTTCGTATCCCACTGGGGATAGCAGGCAGTCAGGGGTGTCAGTTCCTGCCCACACCTCTCTGCAAGATCTTAGAGAGTCTGGGGGGTGAAAAGATGCTCTCTAGAGGTCACCCAGTCTATCCCCTGCCTTCGAGTTACCCGACACCTCTGGGTCTTGCTGCGAAAGGGAATCCGTAGGAAGCCTTTAGACTCCCGCGCTCCAAGTGTTTCACACTCACCGCAGTGCAGAGGAAAAAGCCCTGGGCTTCCTGGAGGCTTGGGTTCTAGCCCTGAGTAATTAGCAGTTTGACCTTGGGTGAAGCAGTTCGTCTCTCAGGGCTTCGGTTTCCTCTTCTATAGAATGAAGGAATGGAATTGGCTATCCTTAAGCTCCCTTCCAGGGCTAACGTCCTGCAGTTACAAAACATTTCTCCGGATTCGCTTCATACGTATGTCTCCCGTGAGTCCCTCTGCAGTCCTTTCCAACCTGCCGTCTGAATGAAGAACAGCGAAGCTCGCTCTCCTGGCAGCAGGGCGAGGAGCCCGCAGTGACGTGGAAGTGGCTTCCAAAGGTGTCACCTCGATGGCGATTTTCCCATTTCTCTTTGGAGTGTTCCCAGCACTTGTTACTTCAAGTGCTGCTGTCACTTCCCTTCCTCAGATCTCAGCGGCTCCCCCACCTTCACTCCCCTCCCTCACCCCCTTTATAATGACCTGCCTTACTTTCCTTCACAGGGATCCTCTCTGGAGCCACTGCTAACAAGGCTTCCCAGAACAGAACTAGAGCACTGCAGAGCCACAGCTCACCAGAGGGCAAGGAAGAGCCAGAGCCTGTCTCCCCCGAGCTAGAATACATCCCCAGAAAGAGGGGCAAGAACCCTATGAAAGCTGTGGGACTAGCCTGGTGAGTTTTAACTGCCCCCTTAGTCCACCAGTGGGGAGTGCATCAAAGGGAGGGCATGACCCAGAAACTTCGCTAAGTTTCAAGTGGTAAGCCAAATTCAAGGTTGTGGGGACAGAATTGCTGGGTTCTAGGAATGGAATCTCTGAGGAGTGGGGCAGGAGGGGTGGGAAGAAAATGCACAACTGGAGAGACAGTGATTTTCTGTGGCAGAAGTTGAACTGATCTCTGAATTTGGATCACTGGCCTCATCCTCCCTGTGGGAGCTTGGGGTAAGATCTAAGACCCAGTAATTAGTTAATTGAAATTCTGTTAGATTATGCTGTATATTGCTATTTAGTTCTGATTCTGACCTTAATATATCTCACTGATCAATACTAAAGGAAAGGAGGGGAAATTAACATTTTTTTCAGCAAACGCCTGAGGTGTAACAGTATTTTACCATGTAATGTTTCAAACATTCTGAGATAAACATTAAACCATCATTTCACCATGGAGGGAACTGAGGCCCAGAGCTGGATTCTCACCAGGTCTTGTTTACTTTGTGCTTTTTGTCCCACACCAAGGCCTCTCTGAGTAGTAGTTGCTCAGATTCAGAAGGGGAGGGTTGGTCGATATAACTTAATGTTAAAGCACATGCTTGATTGTTTAAAGCCCTAAATTGAGTCCACAGCACCAAAAAAAAGGAGAAAAGAGAGGGTTTGGAAGGGGATGTGAGACAGTTTAGGCAAAGGGGAACTTTGCCATGTCAGAGGGAAAGAGCCTGGGCTACCTAGACTATCACACACAAACATTCAGTAGGAGTACAGGCCCTTGAGTATCAGGCCATGGGGAAAAGAATAGAGAGATGGGCAGAACTGTACCACATTGGACTTTTTGTGCCATGCCTAGGAGTATGGAATTGGCCAGGAGGTGATAGAGAGCTATTACAGGGTCCTAAGCAGGCATCTGATTTATGGGATCCTTCCAGCAACCAACACAGAAGACAAGTAGACACAAGAGGTATCCCCCACAGCATTGTGCCATTTGGCAAAGCTGGAATGATTCCTCTAGCTCCTCTGACTCAAGCTTGGTCCCTGCCCAAACCCCGTGCACATCTCCCCATCCCTAGGGCCATCGGCTTCCCCTGTGGTATCCTCTTCTTCGTCCTCACCAAGCGGGAAGTGGACAAGGACCGTTTGAAGCAGATGAAGGCTCGGCAGAACATGCGGGTGTCCAACACGGGCGAGTATGAGAGCCAAAGGTTCAGGGCCTCCTCCCAACAACCCCAGGTCCCTGAAGTTGGGCCTGGGGTGCAGACCTGAGGAGCACTGTAACTCTGCACTAGACTATGGACTCAAGTCCTCTTTGCGGCCAACTGTGGCCATTGCCCATGAGATCCACCAGAGGGCGTGTGATGCCCAAGCTACTGCCAGCACCCTCCCCCTCCCACAATGAGAAGCTTGCCAAAAGCAAATAAAGTTATTGAGTGCTGGAGCAGAAAGGAAGTAGGGCTGAATTTGTGAGCCCTGGGGAAGGGAGGGGCATAGGGTGGGGCTGGATGCTTAAGGGCGTTCCCTTATAGAAGACGTGTTACCAGCCTGGTGGTAATGCATTTATAGCAAGGCAACAAGCCTAGGCACAGGCCCTGGAGACCAAGCCCTCAGAGCCATTGGCCAGGAAGACAAGGTCTCACACTACCTTGAAACAAAGGAAATCAAAGACAGCATTCTGGGTGTGGAGGCAAAGAAATGAAAGCATTCAAATAATTCAACCTCTCTGGGCCTCAGTTTCATTTTAAGAAACAAGATTCCTAGAGAGCTTCTGAACCTGTGGTCTGTCCCCGTTCCCATCTGCAAAATTTTATATATACACACAGCTTTCCATGAGGAAGTTAATAAACAGGGGTCCGTGACACAAAAGTTGTCCAGCAGGATGGTCGAGACCTCCCTTCTCCATCCAGTATTGCAGGTTTGAGCTCCTTTCCCTAGCCAACTTCTGAGGGTTCAGAGCCCATCTCACCCATCACCAGTGTCTCAAGAAAGTGTGCTTGGTACCATAGAATGTGCTAAAGACCCAGGCCAGAGTACAGAGGGAAGTGGATGCTTTGACCAGAGCCACCATGTTCCAATAAAGATAGCCACAGCCCCACAGGGTTTCACTGCTAAACATAAAACTTTATTACTTTTCTAGTTGTGTCCTTTTGTGTGATATGTTTAGAATCAAGTACTGGACAGAAAAGTTCTAATTATGTCCTTGGGCTAACAGGCTTTCTACCCTACCTGATAAAATGGCCCTGTGCCCACCCCCATACCAGCTTGAGGCAGTTGGATTACACTAAAAGCAGTGGCTGGCTGCAGAGGGGATTCTAGTCTAATCTCCCCCCCTACCAGCATGGTTCAGAACAGAATGAGAAAGAAGTTGCCTTTCTGTTGGGGCCCTCCCTAGGTTAGAAGGGACAGACATTATAGGTACAGAAGTAGGCTTCGGTATTTTTCAGACCAGGTAGGGGACCACAAGGCATGTTTTCCCTGCTCCCATCCATCTCCTCACCCAGGCTACTTTCCAGCACATTTGTGATCCTACAAACCATCTCACTGCTGACCTGTACCCTTCACGTTCTCCTGAGAGAAAATAAGAGGACCCTCTAACCAAATCTTGGAAGCCCCAGTGGTCCCAAGCACTTTGGAGAATGGGCCCAGATGGCAGCCAGGGTAGATACTACTCTTTGTTGGTCCCTCTACTAAATGAACATTGCTCACTTTCTTCCCCCAGCCCTAACCCAGATGAATAATCTATACATGTTACTGAGAGAAGACTGGGTTGGATCAGGGAGACCCCTGGGTACAGATCTCTTCTAGCTTCCCAAGCTAAGAGATGCCAAGCCCAAGAAGTACAGATGGGGTAGTGGCCTATGAATGCAGGAACTGAAGACAAAACATCTGGCTTTATTGGGTCTAGGAGGGGAATTGCTCCAGCTATGTAGCCTAGAATGCTTTGTGGCCAAAGTAGGAGGGAACCTCTTCTTGAAGCACCTTCTATGTTCATAGGCTCCTCATATCCCCTATGCTGTGCAGCTAAAAGTTTGATGCTCATTGTGGGTAAAGGGGAGGAGATACAGCTTCAGTCTACTCCTTGCTTAGTTTACCAAGGGAAAGAGTTCTCAGTAACTCCAGCACCCCTGGTTCCCATATAATACAGCCAGAGGGCTCCCCCCATCCCCAGGACAGAGAGGAAACTGGGCAGATTACTTGAGGGGAGAAGGGACCTAAGGCCGAGCCCAAGAGGAAAGGGAAAGCCCTAGGCAGGTGGAGCCGATGCTTCTCAGTTACGATCCCCCACCAGCTGCAGCACAAAGGTGAAGATGTAGACTATGTCCGTGTAGATCTGCAGGGCACCCGTGATGTAGTCCTCTGGGCTGATGGTATGTTTCCGGTTTCCCAGGACCAGCTGTGTATCGTAAGCCAGGAACTGCAGCGACAGGGAAATCAAAGTGTGAATGTCTAAGGGCTCAGTGTCCAGAGCTCGTTTCTGGTCAGCAGCTTGCTTAAGGGATTCACTAATGATTGGTGTGACACATGGTCTCTGCCCTTTAGCAGTTCATTGTCTGGCAAAGGAGATTGCCACACAGTTGCCAGGCATTCTTACAGCAGGCAGTGTGAGCAAAAAACAGCAGGGATACCCAGAAACTTTTAGAACCTCTAAACAGAGAAGACAATCACCTATCTACTGCCACTTCCCACCTCCCAAGCTGCCTGAATTCCATCTCTCTCCTTAACTCCCCTTCCCAGAGCAGGAAGTGAACTTACCAGGGTGAAACAGATAGCTCCCAGAGCAGCATAGAGCATGTGGAGCCAGTAAATCTGTGAAAGGACAGCATGGCATTAGGAAGCTAAGCATGACCCTAGGACTCCAGGTAGCAGAGCAGGGAGATGAGTGAAGCTACCTCTCCAGGATCCTCAGTCCTGCCTCCCTCGATCCTGGAAGAGCCTGAGAATGTGATACACATGCCAGAAAACACAGATGTCATCCCACAATGGTCATATAAAAGCAGCCACAGCCATCTTTTAGCCAGATAGGGCTCCAGAGCTAGTCAAAGTATAGAGGTGTCCACTCCTTTTAAAAAAGCCTACTAAATACAGCTCATGAGGAGCAGGCCCAACATACGCAGTTTGAAGAACGTGTCACGCTGAGCACTCACTAGCCCAAGGGAGCAGTTTACTGGCTCCTGCAGCCCACCCTAGGGACAGCTTGGGGAAGCCCCTCAGCAACCTTGAGTTGCCACTTTGCTCAACACCCCTGCAAATGCCTGTGCACAAAAGGGCAGGAGCAGCCACGGAGAAGCGGGCAGCAACTCTCATCCTCATCCTTCCTTTCAGCACTAGGCTCCCCAAAGCCCAGTGCTCTCCCTCAACAGGAGCCATCAGAACCAGTGATCCGAAAGCCCCTTCTTTCCAGGCCCATCTTGGTCCTATAGGTTCACTTCACAGAACCTGGTATCAGTTGACACAGAGCTAACCTATTACTTCTCATAGAACTTGATGGCACTATCCAGGGGCCATGGTTTACTATCTGTTTCCAGAGAAACATGGGTTATACCCTAACTCAAAAAGGTGGCACTGTGTTGGTGCCTTCTCTAGCCAGTAAGGAGCGGGGGGGGGGGGGGGGGGGGAGGTCAGAGCCCACCCCTCCAATACAAGAAGTCTGCACTGAGCAATGGGTTCACTAACTGCTTTCCTGGGACACTCACATATTTGAAGTACAGCACAATGCTAGTGACAATCCCAGTCACCATCAGCACAATTCCCAGGACACAGAAGAGGCCTGTACAAGAAGTAAAGTCCACCTGCCAAGAAGGGGGAGACTGCCATCAGATGAATGCCATCCTCAGCATCCCAAAGGACTAGCCCCACCCCCTGTCAGGGAATCCTAATGCTGCTCCTGGGGGCACATCAGCAACAGTGACAGGCTAAGGACACACACAGACAGCAGCTTGGAAGATACAGATATGGGATGAGGGGATTAGGTCTAGGGAAATAATCTGATCTACAAGGGTCCGTGTCCTCCCAGGCCTGCCCAAGTGCCAAACCCAAAAGTGTATATAAGAAAGGGCGTAGGGTGGCCAGCAAAGGGCCTTCTCCATCCTTACCTTAGTCTGAAAACAGAAGATCGTAACAGAAATGGACACCACAGCAGTGATGATCATGGCAATGATGACAGCTTTAGTTTGGTACATACTGGGAAGAAGGAGGAGTTGAGGAAGCTAGACGTATAAGCCAAGGATGCATGACTTCAGACCCCCACATCCAGGATTGTGCCCACAATCCAGCCCACTCCCCCACAGCACTCCTTCCAACAATGTGGGGGACTGTCCCTGAATGTACCTGGAAATGGTGCCTGTCATGAAGCCCAAGGCTAAAGTCTGAGAAAAGGAGAAAAACAAGGCAAACTGTTAAGAACAACAGGGGATGGGGTATGGCTCAGTGGTGGGGTACTTGCCTGGTATGTGCCAGCCTCTGAGTTCCATCCCCAGCATCACCACCCCCCAATCACCATCCAAAAAAGAATGTGAGGGCTCTGGAGATGGCCACCTAGTCCCTATCAGAACTGGGACTGAACTGGAAAGAGCAACCACAGGGATCAAGAATGGGCCTGGTGCGGGAAGGAGACAGCCAGGAACTTCTTTCTATACTGGTATTCCCAGCCCATCTCTGGGACAGCCCTCCCACTCCTTCTAGACTTACGAAGAGGGTCAGCAAGATGATGTTCCATGGGAACCGGCGTCTTGGAAAAAGAGAGAGACCCTGGTTAGCTGCCTAAGAAGGGAATATCTGGTTCCTATGCCTGAGGAATAAGCCTTTCCCTGCTAGAGAAGACACACTTCAATGGCTTTTGGTACCTGCTTAGGTATGGAGACAGAACAGATCTGGACTTGTGACTGTGGGGAAATTTCTCATCTTTATTTGCCCTTGAGTTCTTCCAGATCAGGTTTTGTTTTTATTTTCCCTTTTTTTATTTTAAATTTTTTTATTACATTGTTTATATGTGTATGCATATGCATGTGTCACAACACACACATGGAGGTCAGGGGACATGAAGGAATCAATTCTCTGATTTCACCATGTGGGTCTCAGGGATCAAATTCAGGTTGTCATTCTTGGTGGCAAGAGCCACTGAGCCTACCCCCCCCCCCTTTTTTTTTCAACCACAGTAGAGAACCAGAGAGTAATACAGGATGCTGCTTAGCTAGATTTCCCCCCCCCCCCCCCCCCTTTTTTTTTTGCTAAATGGTTTAAATGCTACATATCTTTCAGGGCTGTGTAAATGATACCTAGGTAGCGTGTTCTCTCTCTCTCTCTTTCCCTCTCTCTCTCTCTCTCTCAACTTTCTATACACCAGGTCAGTATATACTCCCCTTCCTCCTATTCCTCCTCACAAGTATTTTTTATAAATCTTTAACAACTATAAGAACCCCTTTTCCTCCCCACATACTTTGTCCCTATCCCACTTCCTGCCTTCATCTTGTCTGTCTCTAAGACTCACCTGGGTCCCTGGCAGCAGGCAAGCATCAGGTACGTGACAATGAAGACAGCACTAGGGAGAGAGAAATGGGACACAGCTATAGGCTGATGCTGCCCAGGCCCACTCCTAGCCCAGGAGGGCAACACTCACCAGCCTAGGGTCCCCATGGCTTCTTGCCAAGCTACTCAGTAGGAAACAAGGGCAATATTCCCTCAGCCTGGGTACAGAGAAGCCTGGAACATGGTTTAGGAAGTGTATGATGGTCACAGACATTGGCTAAGAGAGCCTGGACAGTGCCATGAAGTCTACAGTTTGTCCTGTCCTGTCCCAGCATTCTGTGGTATCATTCCTCATCCGGTGGGCCCCATGCCACACCGTACAGCCTGGAGACTGGCACCAGCCACTGGGAAGGCCTCTCTTAGGACATTTTGAGCCCTGTCCTGAGAAAAGCTGGTCAGCTAGAGACCGAGACTGCCCCCAACTTCCCATCCTTGTATCACCACTCACTCACTAGGACACGTAGTACACAGCCACATTTCTCCTCACGAAGATGCTAACTGGTTCCCTGTGCAGTAGAAGAGGCCAAGAGAGGAGTCACATCATGGCTTATCTGCCTCCAGTTGAGAGCCACCCCTTCCCTCACAGCCCAGCAGGTAACCCAGACACCTCCAGGCTGGGAAGAGGGGAGACTCACACAAAGGTGAAGATAGCGATGATGGCCACTGTGATGAGCAGCTGGACAGAAATGATGGAGTAGACCTGGAACAGACAGTCAGGGGCACAGCTTACATTACACACTAGCCTCCCCCTATTATTCTCTAGCTGTAGCCTGGCCTCTTAAAGGTGACCCCACTGTTCCCCTCCAGCTGTTCCTTGGCACCTCCCCTCCTATCCAACATCCAGCTTCAGTTTACTACTGTCTTGCCTTTGGGAGATGGGGGGGTAGAGTATTAGAAGCATCATGTTCATTTCAGATTCCCAGTTGCTTACTCTCTAACAACAGTGCATGGGAGTGGCAGAGTCCAGGTAGGACTTTCCCAGTCTCCCCAAACAAAGCCAAGGCAAAGAAGATCAAAAAGTGGGATCCTGGGGCTGGACAGATGGCTCAGCAGTTAAGAACACTGGATGTTCTTGCAGAGGACCCAGGTTCAATTCCCAGCACCCACACGGCAGCTAACAACTGTCCATGGCTCAAGTTGGGGGGGGGGGGGGGGGTCTGACAACCTCTTCTGACCTTGCGGACATCACACAACACAAGTGCACTTACATACATGTATGTAAGCAATACACTCATACACGTAAAATTTTAAAAATATTTTTTTTAAAAAAGAGGGATCCCCTCTGAGGAGAGTGCAGAGTTACAGAGAGTTGGACAACACATTATATGGGAATATGTACCTGTACTTGGCCTGATATGGCTAGTCCTCCCCCATCCCCCGACCCATATCTCACCTTTCGGATGAATGTGTGTCGGACTTTCCGGTCATCCCACTCTCCAGGCCCGAAGCTGTCACTCACTGCTCTCTCCTCCCCATCATAACCCTGGCCTGGGCCTAGAAATAGATCATTTCACAGCATCTCTGACCCTGTCTCAAAGGCTCAGATACATCTTGCCAGAAGGCCAGTTTATAACTCAAAGGCTCCTCTCAAGCTAGAGTCCTCTAGGTACCCTCAGTGACCCCAGATAGGTTTATGTGAGAGAAAGCTGTCCTATCAACAGGCATCTGCCGAAGGCTCTCTGTCCAGTCCATGCCATTGGGGGCAGGGTAGTGGCATCGCCATCTAGGGAGGCAGCTGGCATCAAGGGATCAGGCTAGCAGAGCAGTGGCCTCAGGGATAGAGGGTCAGAGAAAAGGAGGGGAGAAGTGCAGTGTATACAGGAGGGAAAGGCTTGTGGTCTACAGCAGGCTTCACAGGACACATAAAACTGTCACCAGTAAATGATGTCTTAAGATCAATACCAAAACGTGTCCAGGTAGGTGTTGGCCATACACTGCTGCAAGCCACTAACAACCCATGGTTGCTTCTTTGGGAACTGCTTCCAAAATCCATTCAGAAGGCAATGGAGTACAGCTCAGAGGCAGGGCATGTGCTTAGCATGTTAGAACCTTAGGTTCAGTCCAGCACCAAAAAATAAGAGATACAAAATTCCCCTCCTGCCCCTGGATAAAAGGGTTACCATAGTCCAACATCTCCTGTTCTAACCCACCATGGCATTTACCAAATGTGGTATTCTTGCTGTTTGCAAAATTCAGACTGTATCTAAATGATGAGGATGTGTCAGCCCTAGGATATTCAAAAACAAAACCCACAAGTACTTAGTTTCAGTTCCTAAGGAAGACTGGTGGCCACACTTGATGGCAGCAGCCTTGTTAAGAAACAGAAGTGGAGGCTGAGAGATGGCTCAATGGTTAAGAGCACTGGCTGTTTTTGCAGAGGACCCAGGTTCAGTTCCCAGCATCCAACATGGCAGCTAACAACCATCAGTAACTCCAGTTCAGGGAATCTGATGCTCTCTTCTGGCCTCCACAGGCATAGCATGACACCAGTATACATACATACATACATATATACATACATACATACATACATGCAGGCAAAACACTCATACATACAAAATAAAAATAAATTCCCCCACCAATTTTTTTTTTTTTTTTTGAGACAAGGTCTCCCTATAGCCCTAGATAGCCTGGAACTCACTATGTAGTCAGGCTGGCCTCAAACTCACAGAGATCCACTTGCCTTTGCCTGGGATTAAAAGCGTATACTACCACACCTGGCAAATTTTTTTAAAGAAAGAAACAGAAATGGTTCCTTGGATAATCACTTGGAAGCCATTACTTCACCCAGCCCCCTTCTCTGGATATAAGTTCTGGTATAATCATGTGACCTCAGTCTCCTTGCTTAAAACCATAGCCAGGGTTGAAGAGATGGCTCAGCAGTTAAGAGCACTGACTGCTCTTGCAGAGGACCCGGGTTCAATTCCCAGCACCCACATGGCAGCTACGAACCATCCTTAACTCCAGTTCCAGAGGAATCTGAAGCCCTCTTCTGACCTCCACAGCATTGCACAACACAGGTGTACTCACATACATGCAGGCAATACACTCATACACATAAAATAAAAATAATAAATATTTTTTAAAAAACCATAGCCAGCCATGTGGCTGGGGGGAACAGGATCTAAAAGGAAGGTGGGAAAGCAAGAAGAGGAAAAAGCACATCAAAGGGGACATCAACACCCAGCCATCTTCCAGGACTTACCATAGTTCATGGGCATCGGGTGGATGGGAGGCATTGGCTGTGGGTAGCCAGCAGGGTGACCATAACCAGGCTGGGGATAGGCAGGGTAGGCAGGGTATCCACCTGACAGGACAGGCGGCTGCCCATAGCCCCCAGGAGGTGGAGGGCCAGGGTATAGGGGGTTTCTGTCCTCATAGGGAGGGGGTGCAGTGGGATTAGACATGGCTGCTCAAGAGCTGAGGGGAAACCCCAGCTGCTGGGACCTGAAATGAGAGAGAAACAAACAGTCATTAGTGCTCACTCACTGCCCACAGGCCACCACCCACCAAGCCAGCCCCTGGCCTTTCATCTCACACCAGGCTTTTGCCTAGATCCTTCCCTTCCCTGGCCACATGGCAATCAGGGACTCTGGGAGTGACACACCCAGAGTCACTGCTGAGCATCAGTACAAAAAATGAGAAACAGGGTAGCCCAGGAACTCCCTGTTCTCCTCTAAGAAAGCCTTCCAGCGGTGGCTTGACAGTAGAAGCAGGGAAGAAGCCGGCCTCTGGCAGAGCCTCCTGGTGAGTCACAGGGCTGGCCATCTGGGACCCTCTGGAAGGGTCAGCCCAGCCCCCACAGCAGCTGGCTGGAGCAGCAAACTGGAGAGCCAGACCTAGGGTGGAGCCAAGGCTCAGCTTGAAGCTCAGCAGAAAGGAGGAGGAAGAAAATATGCCAGCCCCAGTACCAGAGCTGCCAGGCTCCAGAGGGAGGGGTGGAGCAGGCTGAGCTGAAGCCACACAGAAGGGAGGCAGGAGACAGGACTTTCTGGTTCCCATCATAGGCATGTGGCAGCCTGTGTGCCACTGGTCCCTTTGCTAGCCTTGTCAGGGAATAAAATGTGGTGCCTCAGAACCCCCTGGGGTGAGGGCTTTCTGGACTGTCCAGTGGCAGTAGCAGGTTGAGGAGAGCAAACTGAGGAGTGAGGGCACAGAATGAAGGCATGCCTCTGAGATGAGAGCCCTGCAGCTAGAAGCCCCAGAGTCACAGGTAGAGGAGCTTTCCAGGTGGTACAGCCCCAATGCTCACATAAAGTGAGAATCAGGGCCCAGAGTAGTAAAGTAACAAACAACTCCCACAATTCTAGAACTAGCAAGTGAGTAGCACACCCAAAATGGAGCTCTTTAGGGTTCCGGGTATATGTCCTTCATGTTACATTGTGCTCCTTAGGCTTCCTCTGCCAAGTTCATGACCCCCAAGTCTTCATTCCTCTCTGACAGAGATAGGGACTAGGAAGAGGTAAGGATGTGTCCTCCTCATGTCCCTCAGAGGAACCACCCCTGCCAGAGTGTATATCACTTGGCAAAGTTAGCCCCTACCTAGAACATCCCCCGGGGCAGACCTTTAGAACCACCAAAATCAGGTCAGCAGCACCCTCAGAGCCGCTGTTGGAAGCAGGAGAGCCCCAGCTTCTCTTTCCAGGGCACTCAGTACAGCTCAGAGATCAAATAGAAAACTGTCATGTCTTCAGTCTCAGGACAACTGGGGCTATTCACAAAGGAAGATGGCCAGGATCAAATTACAACAGACCAGGTCTCTGAGCAGGTAATACTGAGAAAAGTTGTTCTCTATGTTCCCAGAGTAGATGAGAGACCCAGAGCAAGAATGTATCTGACCATAGAAAAGAAAACCCTTCAACAGTGAAGGTGGGTGGTGAACCCGGCAGGAGAGCATGGGAGCCAGGCAGCGAACAGAGCAGAGTCCCTAGAGAAATGGGGCACCGGGGTGCTCAGGAGAGCGGAAGAAGTGCTGTGCTTTTAAGACCCAGAACTTGGAACTGCTCTGAAGATGTTTGAGGCTATGGAAGGACAGAATAATGACAAGTAAGAGAAAAGAAACAGGGCCTCTCCTGTCCTATCCTCTGGAGCAAAAGACCTCTTCCCCTAAACACTACCCTTTCCTTCCAAAGCTCCAAAGCTCCCTCTGACTCTATTCAAAAGATGGCATCCAGCAGGAGGATAAGGCAGGTTACCTTAGGTGTTGATGTGCCTGTCATCAAGACCCTCATCTCAGCAACCCAGATCTTGATTGGGCTGGTGGCTGGCTGAATAGCCAAGAACAGACAGGAAAGGCCCTATGGCTAGAGGGCCCACCTGTGCCACCAAGCTATGTCGTCACGACTACCTGGCCCTTCACCTTCATGAGGTACACCTCTGTAAAATGGGGCAGGCCAGTGATCTTGGCACTCATGCACAGTTCCAAGAGCAGACTGTAACCCTGGGAGGACTGCAGGGCCTGCCCTTTGCCCAGCAGATGGCTGCTTCTCCTTCTTCCCAGAGTGAAGGGCTGTAGTGATCCTGGGATTAAGTGTGACTAAGAGAGGAAGGTCGGTCTGGGATGGGACTCCAGGGTCTGGTGTAGCTCAGTGGCTGCTGACTCATGGGCCTCATTCCCACACTGTCTAGCCCTGCCTGCCCTGTCATGCTTCTGGTGTCAGAGGAATTTGCCAGTGGACCTGCCTGATCCTAGTCCAGTTCTCTGGTGCCTCAGCCAACCTGCCCTTGTGTATCAGAGACCCTGTTATGCCTCAGTGTCTTCACCTGGAAAATGGGAGCAACATCATTAACAGTACTCCCCCAGAGAACTGCAAAAGTTAAAAGATGCACAGGGAGCACTTAGAACAGTGTCCAGCCCCTGATAAACAGGATATTCTGGCTGTTTTCAGTTATGACTTTCCTAACTCCCCACAGCAGCACAGCACATGAGCACCACTGTTACAGATGAGGACACTGAGGCTTAGGAGAGTGAAGAAAGTTGGCCAAGGATACCTCACTGGAACATGATGATGTCAAGACTTGGGCCCCAACTTTTCATCCTTTCTGCCATGGCCTTCAGTCTCAGACCACTCCTAACAGCAGGCTTACACAGGAAGTGGACATCCTACCACTCAGCCCCTCCACAGTGGACTCCAATCCCATCCATCGACCGGGGGGCGGGGGGCAGTCCAGAGACTCAAAAGGTGCATCCCTCTCTTTTTCCCACTAGACAGCCATAATGCAGAAGGCAATGAGGCAATGACCTGGTCAGACCTGGTCCTAAGCCACAACACAATTCTGGCTATCTGGCCAGGAGAGTAAGCCCCTTACATTAATACCAAACAAGAAGTTACAAATCTCTGTTACACTCACCTCTGAGCCATATCAAGGACAATTAATTCAGACCAGCAAGAACCACTAGGGCCTAGGACCCCCAGACTGGGCAGCTTCTATCAGGCCCTAGTTCTCACCTGGTCTATATAAGACCCTGCCACTTCATATCACCAGGGCCCCACAAGGACTGAGGTCTAGGTGCTGGCATCACCAGCCTAGAGAAGGGGGAACAGGGGGGAAGTGGCCAGCCCTTCTAGCCACACCAAGGCATGGGGGCTAAAAAGAATGTAAGGTAGGAGGGACAGAAAAGAGGGAACCAAGAGACAGAGTGAGGATGAGGCCCTAGGTCTTTTAAGTCTTCTGAGTTCTCCCAGTGACTTTGAGGGCTTCAATTTCCAGAGCCTACACAGGGCCTGTGAGCCTCCCACTGGAAGCCTGCATTTTCCTGAAATTCAGGAAGCATCAGCTTCTACATAAGCTTGTGATCAAGGTATCCAGACTCTGTCCCATCCTGACAGTTAAATATCGCAGTTTGCACCTCTCTTAGGCAATTTATCCCTACCTGAGGAAGGAACTGGAGCCTCTCTTTGACCCAGTCATGGCAGCAACAGAAGTGTGTGGGCCTTAGTCCCAACAGCAGGATTTGCTGGTGGCCAAGGTTTTCGATGTAGAGTTTGAGGAAACTGCTTCCCCTGGGCTGACTCCAGGGGCCGACTCTATGCCCAATCTGAGGTCAGGCTCTGGTTCTCTTGGGGCTTATGAAGGGTTAAGACTCTGGAATCTGCCGAGAGGAGGCCCAGCTACTGGGGTTACAGCAAGAGGGTGTGTATTGGAGAGAAGGACAGAAAAGAGCAGCTGACTGGTTCAGGCAGCTTACCCTCCTGCCTGCCAAGAATGGATGCCCAGACCAGAATGGAAAGAATCACTCAGCACACATGTCAGGAAGCCCCACCCTGCACCCAGGTGTCCATGCCCAGCTCCTTCCCTCCATTCTCCACCAAGAAACACTGCCCTCCCACCCCAGCACACAGCCACCAACACAAAGGAGTAAAAGATGCACCCAGGAAATGTCTGTGCCAGCCTCCAGGCCTGATTCTGGTCCAAGGGGACCCAGAGTCAACTCCTGGCCTGGCCTCAGGATTAAGATGTTAAGTAAAGGGGGTCTAAAGATCATCTGGTCACTTGACACACCAGGAAACCTCAGAGCTCCAGCCCATGACAGGCCTTACTGGTCCAGAATTTGAAATTTTGCTGGGCATGGGGTCACATGCCATTAAGACCAGCACTTGGGAGGTAGAAGCAGATGGATCGCTGAGAAATTGAGCCATCCTGGTCTATATAATGAGTTCCAAGCCAGCTGGGGCTACAGGAAAACAACCAGAAAACTAATTTGAAACTTCCAGGCAAGTATGGTAGCACATGCCTTTGGCAGGCAGATCTGTGAGTTCACGGCCACACTGGTCTACTTAGCAAGTTCCAAAGGCCCTCTCTCAAAAAAAAAAAAAAGACTTTGTAACTTCCCTTCCTAGCCTTGCCCACTATCTAAGAACTCAGCAGGAAAACACAGGAGCCAGAAGACACCCATTTCCCAGTTCCCTCATGATTTCCTGCTCACACTGCCAACCCATTACTTTCCTCCTGGCTCCAGGCTACTCCCCAGCCTCTATCTCCAGGGGCCCTCTCTCAGGGGCCACAGAGACAGAGGGCTGGCTTTCTTATCACCCTTGTCTCTGAGGACAGAATTGTGTCACTGGGTAAATGCAGAGACCCCAGCCACTTCAGCAGCCTGGGTGTGCCTATAAGGAAAGAGGAAGCTATTAGCAGGCCTGTGGCTATCTGACAAAGCCCCAACCAACCTCTTTTGTATTTAACTCTCCTCTCTCAGTTGAACTTCCAGGTCAGGAGGAAAGACAGGCAGAAGAATGAATTAAAAAAGGACAGTGGAAAGCCACAGGTGGGTGGGGAAGGAAGAGAGCTACTTAAAAGTAGTGAATAAGCCAGGGACAACTAAAGCACCTCTGATGTTCACAAAATATCACTCAGCCAATAAGAAAGCTGAAATTCAGCCAGGCATGGTGGCACGCCTTGGAGGCAGAGGCAGGTGGATATCTGTGAGTTCAAAGTCAATCTGGTCTACATAGCGAGTTCCAGGACAGCTGGAGCTACAGGGAGACCCTGTCTCAAAAAGACAAAACAAAAAAAGAAAGTTGAAATTCAGAGCTAAGCCAGGCATGGTGACGCACACCTGTAGTCCCAGCGCTTGGGAGGCAGAGGCAGGCAGATCTCTCTGAGTTCAAGGCCAGCCTGGTCTACATAGCGAGTTCCAGGACAGCTGGGGCTACAGGGAGACCCTGTCTCAAAAAGACAAAAAAAAAAAAAATTGAGAGCTAAGCATGATATCAGATGCCTGTAAGACCAGTACTCAGGAAGCTGAGGCAGGAGGATTGCTGGGAGTTTAAGGCTCGCCTGGGCTACACAGTGATCACCAGGCCAACCAGGGCTTCATAATAAGATCCTATCTCAAAACAAAACAAAAAAATTTGGAGGAAAAGCCAATCTAAGGGTCTACAGCAGGCAAACAGCAGAGATGGGTTTGAACTCATAGCTATTTTGAAGTTCACATCCTGGTAAGCTTACAACTGCCTGAGGCAGACACCCCTGCAGCACCCACGCCTGGTAAGGGCAGCACAAAGCTGAGGGTGACATGATAAAGACAGGAGGGAGTTGAGCAAGTACACAGAAGATATTGATTCTTTTTCCAGTGAAGTCACCCGTTGCCTGAGCCCTCTGCATAAGGCAAGGATCTAGCTCCTATCCTGGCTTTGCTGCTTCCATGAGCTGGGGTAGGTCACTTCCCACCTCTAGACTCAGTTTTTACATCTGTTGGATGAGTAATCTGGACTAACGATCAAAATCCACTACAGCCTGGCCAGTTTGATTCTGTGTAAACAGGCTAACAGAACAGAAAGCTTCGGGGTAGAAAGACATACCCCCTAAAGAATCTACAGGATTGGGGGCCACTACTGATGTGCAGGACACCTAAGGAGGCAGAGGCACATGGCATGTTCTAGGCAAGGCAGTGGCCATTTAACTCTTTCATTCCTTCCTTCTAAGCTGCTCCCACAATGCCTTCAACTCTTCATAGACTGTGCAGTCCTGGCCCTGAACACCTGTGTGTTCTACATAGACCCAACCCTAACAAAACTCATCTTCCTACTCACCTCTTAAATGCCTATGCTCCCACCAGCTTGTGTCTCAGAACAATGACACTAAGAACAAGGCATGAGGGCCAGCAAGATGGGTCAGCAGGTAAAGGTACTCACCACCAAGTCTGCCAACCTGAGTTTGATCCCTGGACTCACATGATGGAAGGAGAGAATCAACTCCCACAAGTTGTTCTCTGACCTCCCACATGCACACCATGGCACCCATATAAACATGCACACATAAATAAATAATTTAAGAGAAAAAACAAAAAACCAGGTATGAGCATACACCTGTAATCCTACCAGTGGATTGGCTGAGGCAGAAGGATCACAAGTTCAAGAGCAGCCTGGGGTCCATAAGAAGGCCCTGTGTGGAGGGAGGATGAAGACCCACACTATATACATGCCCTCATAGGGAGTCACCTCATTGCAAGAATCCTCTAGAGGGTCTTCCCCAACTCCTAGTTCCAGATGCTGCTGGAACCCCCATGGTGGACCTTTTTGCATGGCATGGAAGAACTCTTAGCCAGCACAGAACCAGAAAAGCAGCATCCCACACATCACCCCTACGTTACAGGGAGTGCTCACCATTCTAAGGCACTTTTACCTTCCTCCCCGACCCATGCATGCATTGTGTCCCTGCCATACAGACTTCTGCATCTCATTCCTACTTCAAAGCAAGACCCAGATTTTAGTCTCAAATCCCAGAATCTTTAGGCTGAGTCTGTCGAGGTCAACCCTTCCTCCAAATTCCCAAGAGACTCCGAAGACCCATGTCATGGCAATCAATATTAGTAGAACTTCTTCCCAGAAACTTGTATGAGCTTCTACACTCTAGTCATCCCAGTTTGGTGCTATGAAGACACACGTGTGTATCCCTCTGCTGTGACTTCTGTTGTTGAGACAAGGTCTCACTCTAGAGCTCAGGCTGGCCTCAGCCTTCTAAGTACAAGACTGAGGCACCATGCCCAGATGTTCTATTGTTTTGTTTTTTTGAGACAGGGTCTTGATCTGTAGCACAGACTGGCCTTGAACTCCCCACTCTCTAGTCTCAATCTGCTGAGTGCTGGTATGATGGGCATGCACCACTGCGTGCAGCCCTGGGCTTCTCTTTCTGAAGGACCTGTGGCAAGAGATCTTGGGTTTGAAGGGGCTCTGAGGTAGACAACTTCTATCTGAGGTCCCCCATTCCCCTGGAGGAGGCTGAGCCAAGGTAGCTATTACCCCAGCCTATGACATGAGACTCTCCTAGTGCTTAGAGGATAACCTATCATTACCTCTCTGACTTGCCCATTTTTACAGGAAGTCGGCCTGTGAAGCAATGGTCTCACCACATCCTTTGAAGCTAGAAACCAAACCTGGGTCTCCAAGACTGGAGAGGCAAGAAGAGTAGGCTAGGCTAGCGTATGGCAGTAAGGGGTTGTAGTAAACCGCCTCTTTGCCCAAGACAGAGCAGCCCCAAGAAGCTCCTGGCTTCCCCTGCCATCACTGGCCAGGCCAGCCAAAGGTACTAGCTTTGAAACCAAAGCTCACCATTGAGATAAATATTTCAGAGTCCCAGAGAACTGGACACCTGACAGACCTTCCATGACATATGGTTCTGTTCACTCCCTCCATTTATCCCATGTCCACATCCACCCCCAGCCCCATGGATACCATCCACAGGCAACAGTTAAGTGGCAGGAGATGGAGTTCCCTAGGGAGGAAACCTGGCGAGGAAGAAAGTGAAGACCCAGCCTCCCAGAAGCCTTCCATCCCAGTCCACAGTTGCTTTCCCTTTTCCAATTTCATTTCCCTATTTTATTTTTACTCCACCCTAAAGAGATCATGAGGGCTAGGCAAGATAGCTTTCACCTGTAATAATGCCAGCATTTAAGAAGCTGAGGCAGGAGTACAGCCACAAAGTTAAGACTTGGCTGAACTACATAGAGAGTTTCTGGTTAAGCTGGACTACAGAGTAAAACTGTCCCAAAAACAAAGAGAGTGAGTGAGTTCATGAGGATGACTGTACTTCCTGGTTCAGTAAATTCCTGAACTCCATATCTCAAGGAAGCAGAGGCTGGAAGGACAAGCTGAGAGCAGAGTTACGTTAAAGGTGGCCTCTTCCCTAGGCTTGATCAGTCACAGGCTTCCATTCATCTCGGTGCTAGGGTCCTCACACCCACCACTTGGTTACTGATTCACCTGTCTACACCCAACCTAGAGGTGCCAGGGCATGCAAGGGCAGCAGGAGGAGAGGTTCCAAGTCCCGGACTGGCTCCCTCCCTCTCCCCACCGGAGAACCCTAATCCCACTCACAGCTTGGCCACTCCGGGCCGGCATGGGGGACACGCCCTGACAGGCCACTACGAGGGGCACTCCCAAGATGCTGGCCAGCTTACCAGTGCTCACCACACACTGGGGTACCGGGAAGGCGAAACTCCCGACGGCCGGGAAGAAGGAAGCCTCTGACTTCTTTGGGCCAAGCCCCAAGCTCACTCCAGAAAAGTGTTTCTGGCGCGCGTTCCAGAAAAGTTTGAGCGCCGGGGCCCAGCGCCGTCCCAGCTGTCTCCCGGTCCCTATCGGCCCCGTGTCCCCACCTCGGTCGGCCCTGGCCCCCAGGCTTGTCTGCGCGGTTCCGGGCCCTGAGATCCGCCTTGGCCTCCGAGTGCCGCGAGGACAGGGCTGGGCCGGGCTGGGCTGGGGCTCCGCGCCCCGCCCTAATGCACACCGCCCCGTGGGGCGGGGCCTCTGCGTGCAGCCCCGCGCTGGGGTCCGCCCGGGACCAGACCCAAAGCGTGAGTTAGTGCGTGATTCAGATTTACAGGAAATAGCTCTGGCTGATAGAAGTTGACAAAACACAGATGCATAGAAAGTAACTTCGTCCCACTTATTCCAGACCCTTTCTCAGGAGGAAACCAGACTGTGCGTCAAGGCCTGTGTATGTCTTTTTGTTTGTTGTCTTTTTGAGATGGTCTCCCTGTAGCCCCAGCTGTCCTGGAACTCACTATGTAGACCAGGTTGGCCTTGAACTCACAGAGATCCGCCTGCCTCTGCCTCCGGAGTGCTGGATTAAAGGCCTGCGCTCAAATGTGAAACAAATGTCTAGGATGAATTTGATTTAAACATCAACACAACCATGTGATGTAAGGCTGTGCAGCATTAAACTAAGATTTCTGTTTTTGCTGTGTTGGGGATGAAGCCAGTTGAGTCTCACACACTGAAGGCAAGGGTGACAGAGAGCTGGAGGGTCAGCCTGGGATATATAGGGGGACTGCCCGCTCTTCCCAAATAAAATTTTAAAAGTAAAACGAAAGCATTGAACAAAACTTTTTAAGACTCTATGACTCTAAATACCCAGGTGCACATTTGTTTCTCATTTTTATGTTACTAGAAAAAAATATCTGTGATAAACATCTTGACAGTTCTATGCTTTTAAACTTTCAAGCTTAAAACTTCAAATATGCAAACATGATTCATGTGTTGTTTAATGATGGGGACACATTTTTAGGGGCTTTGAGTATTGTGCAAGCCTCATCGTGTATTTACGCAAACTAAGATCTCTATGTGTCACTGGGTGATAAAAATAATCCTGCAGGTGTTGGGGACATAGCTCAGTTGGTAGAGCACTTATCTAGGGTGCGTGAAGCCCTGGGTTTGATCCTCAGCACCATGTAAACCGAATAAACTGGGTGGCATGGTGAAAGCCTGTAATCCCAGAATTTGGGAAAATCAACGCAAAAACACAGCTCCCAACCACTAAGACAATAAGAGTGATTTACTCTGGAGTCAACTATGAGTGACCATGGCCCAGGAACACAGATTTAGGTTACTTCAAATTCCAAGTTCCAATATGGTAACAGTTTAATGAAGTTGGGGGCGGGGGTTGTATCTTGTTTTGTTTTGTTTTTGAGACAGTCTCACCATGCAACCCTGGTTAGCCTGGAACTAACTCTGTAAACCAGGCTGGCCTCCAACTCACAGATCCACCTGCTTCTGCCTCCGGCTGTGATTGTGTGTGTGTGTGTGTGTGTGTGTGTGTGTGTGCGTGTGTGTGTCCCTGCCATCACACCAGCCAGTGTGTGTGTGTGTGTGTGTGTGTGTCCCTGCCATCACACCAGCCAGTGTGTGTGTGTGTGTGTGTGTGTGTGTGTGTGTCCCTGCCATCACACCAGCCAGTTAACAGTTTAGCAGAAAAATCTCAGCTATAGGCCTCAGATACTATACTAACAAAACTAGAGTTTTGATAAACTAATGCATTCCAAAAGGTTTTGTCTGTTAGTCTCAGTATGTAAGGTCAGACACAGAGATGGGCAAGGAATGGCTATTTAGGGGGCTAAAGATAGCCCAAGAAAAATTGTAATTAGGCTATGCACCTGTAACATTCCAACCTCTCCACAATCTTTGAAGTTTTAATCAGTTGATTAACCTTGCAGAAGGTTAGTAGAAGGTGCAATTTCTTGCTAGGAACTTTCCTTTGTAAGAAGTAGAAACAGCTGGGGCGTGGTGGTACACGCCTTTAATCCCAGCACTCAGGAGGAAGGCAGAGGCAGGTGGATCTCTGTTGAGATCTACTCAGCAAGTTCCAGGTCAGCTGGGGCTATGGGAGTCCCTGTCTCAAAGAAAAAAAAAAAAAAAAAATAGAAGCAGAAGTTCAAGGTTATCCTCAGCTACATAGCAAGTTTGAGGCCAGCCTGGATTATGAGACCCTGTCTCAAAAAAAAAAAAATGTTATGGAACCATCTCCACATACTCAGTCCCTGTTTAACCTCATCATGCAGCATGCCACAGCACTTCAAGCAGATGTGAAGTCTTAATCCTGCTGTGACAGTGCTTGATTGGGGGCTTTGTCCCCATTGTGACACCCCTGTAGCCACCCATGAAGAATGCAGGGAAAGCCAGGTTCAGTGGCACCTATAATCCCTGCACTCAGAGGGCAAGAGCATCTGAGGTCAGCATGGACTACAGAGTGAGAATCAGTCTCAAAGAAAAAATAAAAAGGCAGAGAGGCCTTCGAGATGGTTTAGTGGGTAAGGCTACTTGCCACCAAGCCTAACTACCTGAGTTCTGTCTCCAGAACCCAAGTGGCAGAAGGAAAAGAAGGGACTCCCTACAAGTTGTCCTCTAACCTTAACACACTTGGCAGGATCACAAACCCCACACACATATCTAGTTAATTAATAATTAAAATTCTTAAATGTATTTTTGTTAAGTTTGGTAGCATTTTCATTTTACATGGTGAAGTAAAACCTCACGGAGCTTGCCTGGGTTTTGTGATTCCAAAGTGCTCTTTCTTTCTCTTAAGCACAGAGGATGCTGGGAATGTGAGCAGCTATGTTTAAAGTGCTTATCTCATACTAATAGGTGCAGGTAAACACCACCCCTAAGTACCTTTCACAGCTCGTTGACACTTTCCCTTTTTTTAAAAAAAATGTTTTATTATTATTATTATTATTTTGGTCTTTTTGAGACAGGATCTCCCTGTAGCCCCAGCTGTCCTGGAACTCACTATGTAGACCAGGCTGGCTTCAATCTTACAGAGACCCACCTTCCTCTGCCTCCCAAGTGCTAGGATTATAGGTGTAAACCAGGACACCTGACTCTAAAACAATTATTTATTTATTTATTTTTATTTTTATTTTTATTTTTTTGGTCTTTTTGAGACAGGGTCTCCCTGTAGCCCCAGCTGTCCTGGAACTCACTATGTAGGCCAGGCTGGCCTTGAACTCACAGAGTTCCTCCTGACTCTGCCTCCTGAGTGCAGGGACTACAGGCGTGTGCCACCATGCCTGGCTAATTTTTATTTATTTTTATTTGTTTGTTTGAGACAGGGTCTCATTAAGTAGTCCTGGCTATTTTGGAACTCAATATGCAGACCAGGATAGCCTTGAACTCTGCCTCTTGCATGCCACCACTCCTTGCATAATTAAATGTATTTTAAAAGTGGGGGAGGGCTGGAGAGATGGTTCAGGGGTTCAGTTCTCAGCACCCTCACGGCAGCTAAATCCAGTTCCAGAGGATCTGATGTCCTCTTCTGAGCGACTGCAAGTAGAAGTGTCTAGTGATGGGTGCCAGGAGCTGCTCCAGCGTTCTCAGCCTGCACCTGACTCCTTTTCTAGCTGTGCTTTGTCACTGCAATCCCTATCCATACAGAAGACAAAAGTGAGCCTGTGTGGAGACGCACCTTTAGCACTTGGGAGGCTGAAGGACTGTGAGAGTTGAAGGCCAGTAGAGGCGGTGTGTGACTGGTACCCACTCATATATATTGACTAAATTAGTTAATTTAGTCAAGGTTTCATTATTCGGCCTATTTACTGATTCTGCTGACTCATCCCACCCTTTCCTAGAGCAAGGTTTAGGCAACAGGGGCTGCAGGATTTTTCTGCAAACTCATTTGTATAGTAAACATAAGTGAAGCAATGTGCCTACTAGTAAACAAAATTATCACTCAGATTATTTGTCATACCAATTAAGATTTTTTGCAGTTATTTGTTTTGTGTTTTTGTTTGGTTTGGTTTGAAGACCAGGTCCCCCTGTAGCCACAGCTGGCCTGGAACTCACTATGTAGACCAGGCTGGCCACCATCTCGGAGATCTGCCTGCTGGGATCAAAGGCATGTGCCACCACACCCAGCTGACTTTGTTTTTTGAGATACAGTTTCTCTCTGTAGCCCAGGCTACCTTCAAACTCAAAGCCATCCTCCTGCTTCAGCTTCCCAAGTGCGGGAATTACAAGTGTGCATTAACACACCCAGCTAGAGATGGGGAGGGGGAGGTGCACATGTATGTGGAGGCCAGAAGTCAACCTTGGATTTTTTCCCCCGAGGTGCCTTCACCTTGTTTTTTAGACAGGAGCTCTCATTTTGCCTGGAGTTTGACAAGTAGGCTAGGGATCTGTCTCCATCTCCCCAACACTGGGATTAAACTCAAGTATTCATGATTACACAGGAAGCACGCTTACTGGCTGCTTCATCTCTCCAGCTCCTGCAGATTTATTTTATTTATTTATTTATTTATTTATTTATTTATTTATTTATTTATTTATCTTTTTTTTGTAGCCCCAGCTGGCCTGGAACTCACTTTATAGACCAGGCTGGCCTCAGACTCACAGAGATCCACCAGCCTCTGCCTCCCAAGTACTGGAAGTAAAGGTGTGCACCACCACACCCAGCCCCTGGAGATATTTTTAAAATATCTGGGGAGATGGCTCAGTAAAATGTTTGCTGCACAAGACTGAAAACTCGAGTTTTAATTCCCAGCACCCACATAAAAGCCAGGTATGCATCAGGCATGGTGGTATTAGAAATAAAATCAAAGGTCCAAGGACCCCATATGTACAAAGAACACATGAACAAAGCAGAAGTAATTTGGCAAAGCAGATTTTACTTTTGCAAAAGGCTGTCTTGAATGGTGTACCCAGAAGCTTCGTGTGCTTTTATGCCTAATGCAAGAGAACTGTCTTTTCCCCATCAGCTGGGTTCCAACTTCACAGTCTTTCCCAGTTGGCTAATTGAAAACAATCAGTTTGAAGACTGGAGAGATGGCTCAGAGGTTAAGAACACTGGTTGTTCATGCAGAAGACCCAAGTTCAAATCCCAGCACCCACATGGTGGCTAACAACTGTTCATAACTCCAGTCCCAGAGGATCCAACAGCTTCTTCTGACCTCCTCGTGCATTGCATGACACAGGTGCCCTTACCTACATGCAGG